TGAAATGGAAAGTGCTCCTCCTGAAGCTTTGTTCTGCTCATTTCCTCTTGCCTGTGAGAATAAAATCTGCTTATATTTTTAGTTCTGCTCCAGCCTCTAGACCCTGGCCCCATTTCTAGGCCTTCATTGTATGATGAGCGGTTGAGATTAAGGGCTCTTAAGCTCCAAGTCCTTGCTTCTTGGCTGGCCAGTGGCAGTCAAGACAGGAGCAGGGGATGGGGGCGGGGTCAGCCCAGAGGGTTCCAGCTCCTGAGCGAGGCCACCTGGGCAGCTGTGCCCTCCCCCCTCATTCCTGTCCCCTGAGTCAGGCCTGCCTGGCTGTGGGCGTGCCGCCGCCCCCGCCCCTTGTTCTGGAATGGGACAGGTTGAGGCCTCACCCCTTGGAGGTTGTTGCCAAAGCCGCATACGCATGCGCACTCAGGGAGCATGGCCTTGAGGGGCGGAGGCTTCCTCCCTACTCCCTGTCCCCAGGCTCAGGAAAGCCCCACAGTGGTAGGTACACACACCTGCCTCCATGCACATGCTGTTACCTGGCAGGGCCTTGTGTGGGTGTGTGCCGTTTCACTCGTGGGTGAGGGGGTCATGGACTAGGCCTGAGTGTGCTTTGTCGCGCTGGTGTGGAGGTGGCCCTAGTGAGGCATTCTGGAGGTGCATGTCAATGTACCTGCCCTGGTGGACTGTACCTGAGCTCACAAACTTGTTTGTGATGTGTCCTCTGTGTTGTGGGGTGTGGCTGGGAGCAGGGTGGCTTCTCAGCTCTGGGATGTCTCCATTTTCAGGCAGATGGTGGCTGAGGGGAGACAGGTCTCATGGTGAGCTTTCTTCAAGGCCATAGCCCTACGCTGTACCTCTGAACTGTATCAGGACAGAAAGCCCTGATACATGGGCTCTAAGTGTGGCCTTGAGCAAGGTCTTTCCACTCTCTGGCTTCAGTTTCTTTCTCTGTGAGGTGCCCACTCCCACCTGAGACAGGTTGCTGAGCCCCTCCCCAAGAAAGCCTGAGGTGTATAGACCTGTGTCAGAGGTGGCTCAGAGAGGCATCCTTCTTCAGCCAGGCTGTGGGTAGGTAGCTAGGGGGAGGAGTGTTGCCAAGTTAGTCAGATGTTATCAAGTGGAAGAGCCTTGGATCCTGATGGAGAGTTTGCAGCTGTGACCTTGACCGGCATCTGTGGGCCTGGAACCTTGATGGGCTGACGATTCCTCATCCTGACTTAGTAGGAGCTCAATCCTTAGTTTGCCTGCTAGGGGGAAGCTGAGGGTGACTGTCTTGTATGGTTAAAGGCTCCAGCTTGGAACCTGCCAGAGCTTGGGAAGTCATCTAGCTCTCTGAACTTCACAGGTCCATGATCAATGACTGGGAGAGGACCCTTGACTCCATATCTTGAAGGGAACTTGTAGGAGCCTTGAAGGCATAGACTGACTGTGTTTTGCCCTCTACCAGCTGCTGGCACGGTGCCTGGCATGAATTAATCACCCTAGGAGTGTCAGTCTGCTGTTTTCTGTTGTATACACTATGCTACCAGAGTTCCTGTAGCCCCTGGTAGTAACTTAATATTTGTTCATTGAATGATTACAGCAATCTTATAAAGAGAATTATTGGCCTTGTTTTCCACCTGAGGTCATGATTTGTGTATGCTAGACCCAGATTTAGGAGCTCTGGTAGCGTAGAGCCTAAGGCACTTGACTGCTAACCAGAAGGCTGGCGGTTCAAACCCACCAGCCTCCTCAGAAGGAAGGTTGGGCAATCTACTTCTGTAGTGATACTGCCTTGGTAACCCAAGGAGGGGTTGCTATGAGTTGGGTCCGACTCGATGGCACATAACAACAGACCCAGATTTGAACCTGGACCTGACTTCCCTCCCAGTGCTCCCCTTTCTCTAACTTTCTGCCCCTCACTTTGAGCTGTTTTTTGGTTAATTCTGGCTTGTGATCCAGGACAGAGTGGGACCAATGGGAAAAACTCTGGACTAGGGACTAAAAGGTCTGCCTGGAAGTCCTACTTCTGCTGTGTGACCTTGGAGAGTTCACTGTGCTTCTCTGGGCCTCTGATGTCACATTGGCAAAGTGGAGAGAAAGTCTTGGAAAGTGTGGGGCTGTACATATACCATGAGAGATTGTTACTGCTAGCTGCAGTGATTTCATTCTGGGCATCTCTCTAGATACCCAATACAGGCATACCTCAGAGATACTACAGGTTCAGTTGCAGACCATCACAGTAAAGCGAATATCACGATAAAGCAAGTCACACAAATTTTTTGGTTTCCTGGTGCATATAAAAATTATGTTTACACTATACTATAGCCTATAAAGTGTGCAATACCATTATGAAAAATTTGAAATATTGTGAGAATTACCAAAATGTGACACAGAGACACGAAGTAAATACATTCTGTTGGAAAAATGGCACCAATAGTCTTACGTGACACAGGGTTGCCACAAACTTTCAATTTGTAAAAAAACTTAATATCTGCTAAGCAATAAAAGGAGGTATGCCTGTACTGTCTCCTGGGCTAGACACTGTCCTTCTAGGGATCGCTGCCTATGTCCTTGCTGTCCCCACAGGCATTCCTGGGCTTGGGTCTGGCTGCTCCATGCTTTCAGCTTCTTCCCCAAGGAATAATCACCAGCCAGGAAACCCTGGTAGGGTATCATACTAAGCTTAGTCTGTTGGGCCACCCCCCCATCTGGCAGCTGGGACCCCTGCCCTAAGCCCTGGCTCCTGAATATTTAGACAAGGATTTGGGGACAGAGTTGGTGGTCTGCCACTGGAATTGATTTTCTTTTGACCTGGTACCGTTATTCACTCCAGAGTAGGGCACGTAGAGACTCCTGGCCTCAGTTTTTTTTTTAGAGTCTAGGGTAGTTTATGCCCCTCCACTCCCTTTGAGGGGCGGGGTCGATGGGTGGGCGGGATCAGCGGCGAAGGTAGGAGGAGGACTTGAAGAACAGCCCCTCCCCTTCTCTGTCTGGAGCGGACACTCTGCGGCGGGGCCACGGGCTCGCAGCCCCTTAGTGCTGGGTTGGGTGAAGGCTTCGCCCCGAGATCCGGAGTGGTTGGGTAGAGGACGCCCAGGTGGCGTCCGCAGTCATGGTGGTGTTCCTGGGCCGCCACCTCCCAGCGCTTCTCGGGTTCTTTAAGAAGAAGGGTGAGTGGGTGTGGCTGGAAGGGAGAGGAGAGATCGCCGGACATCCTCATTTACCAGACCATTATGTAGAATAGGGGATTAAGACGGGGCAAGGGTTATGGGGTGGGGGATGGGATTAATAACGAGGCCTGCATCCCCCGCTGGCTGCCTTGCCTTTGTCCAGCCGCTTTGATGCTGCCTTTGTCTGGGCCCTGAGTGTGTTTGGGGGGGATGGGTCCAGGTGTCCCTGACCTTGAAGACGGCAGCCCTCAGGCGCGACTGCCTTCCCCCAGTGGTATCCCCAATTTACTGGGTACAGCCCAATACCCCAGGCCGAAGAGGTAGACAAACCCCCTCCCAGGCCAGCCTACTATGTGTGGTAGGATGGAACTTGGGGAGCAGAGAGGAAAGTTGGGGAGCATGATCAGTGAAATCTTGTGTTTAGAGGCCTGGAGGTAGAGAAGTTTTGGAGCAAGGGGGCTCTGCCCACTTTCTTCTCCCAGGAACTGGGCTTTCAGGCCTGGACTCAGATGTCAGGGCCAGAGCATACTGTGTTTTGGGAGGCAGAAGAGTCCTCATTCTGAGCATGATCTGGGAGTCACCTCTGGAAATCGAGTTCAGAGCTGGCGCTCCCTTACTTCAGTTTGCTGGGCAACCTTAGTCACGGCCTTTCCCCTCCCTGAGCCTGTCCCCACTTGTCAAATCAGGGAATAGGGCGAGAAGATCCACTGGAGGGCCCTTTTGACCTTGTAGGATTGCTGCAGATTCCCTAGGGCAGGAACTCTGGCTGTTGATGAATGAATGGGCTGAGGGAGGAGGAAAGGGCAGGTGTCTGAACTGAAGACCCGGTTCCTAAGGCATGGCCCTTTAAGGGGCTTGTTTTGTTTCTACCCCTCTACAAGGTGCTGCCAAGGTCACATGACCGTCCCAGAGTTTTTGCTTATGCTGTGGGTTCCATTTAAATGGGGGCTGGGGTTGTAAACTGCTGACACAGCCCCCCCCCCATTAGTTGACCAGGGCCCCCATGGGCGGGGCCTGTAACTGAATCCTTTGTAATGGATCCCTGGCTCCTCTGTACCAGGGGCCAGGGCCAGGGCCTTCAGGAGAGGGGGATACCTGGCACTGGTGCTCCTAGAGAGTCTTGGCTGGGAGGCAACCTTCTCTCTTCCCCTGCCCATCCTTCCACTAAAGAGCAGCCATATGGGTGAGTAGAGGACCCATGAGTCTATATTCTTGGTCTGTCCCTCGCCCTAGTATTTGCTGGGAATCTGGTTATAACCTCTGTTAGCCTCCATCCCTTCGAAGTTTCCCATGGTGTCTTCTTCCTAGACCTTGGGCCAAGGGATTATGTGGAAAAGATGGTTGGTTTGCTTTAAGGTGGAGCTTGGTGTGGAAACAGGAGAAATGTATTTGCTGTGAGCATTGTGTTTATTGGAGGTGTCTGTCTTGCATGGGGCCCGAGTAGGGGTGGGTACACAGTTGTGTGTATATTTGGGTGGTGTTTGTGTACATACAGAGTGAGGACTGTGGGGGTTGTGTATATAGTGGGGGCTGGGTATGGCCTATGTAGGCCCCTTGTGTGGTCTGAGTACACAGATGTGTTTATACTTGGGTGCTGTTTGTATTCAGACTGAAGCCTGTGGCCATTGTGTGCTTATATGGTGGGCCTGTGTGTGGTGCCCTGTATAGGGAGGGCCCCTTGGGTGATATTAATACTCAGATACGTGTACACTTGAATATAGTTTTTATGTGTACTTGGGGGCTGTATGTACTGAGTGTATGCCCTAGAACTGTGGGTTGTGTGTACAGTCTTTGGGTGCCCTTGAGGAGCCTGTGCCTTGGGGCCTCACTTCCCTTCTTCCTCCATCACATTAGGCTCCGCCAAGGCTGAGAGTGACAAACATCTAAGTACAGGGCCCAGCCAGGGGCCAGGGTCTGTTGTGAATGAGCACCAGGACAACGTCTTCTTCCCCAGTGGGCGACCACCTCACTTGGAGGAGCTGCACACGCAGGCCCAGGAGGGGCTCCGTTCCCTACAGCACCAAGGTACACCCTTCCCCCAACCCCGTTTCCACTAGTGCTAACCTCTCAGCTCCCTGGGTCGGGGGCTTAGCTCAGTGAATTCTTCTGGTGTCTTCCAGAAAAACAGAAGCTGAACAAGGGCAGCTGGGACCATGGAGACACCCAGAGCATCCAGGTGAGCACTGCCTCCCTGCTCAGTCCTGACTCTGCTTTTCCTTCCCTGCTTGACCTCTGGCAATTATGGCCTGGACCCCTTTGGGTCTAGTTTCCTTCCTTTATCCTTAAGGGGCTAGACTAGATGACCTCTGAGGGCTAGTCCAGAGTTCTCCAGCTGATGCTCCTCAGTACTAGGTGATGCTGGGGAGTAAGGGGTGGGGAAGGAGACAACCTGTGAATTAAAGGTCAGTGGTCAGCCTGGCTACCACTGTCACCCACTTGGAAAGACGTTAAGTGTAGGAGATCCTGGACAGAGTGGGAGAACAATGTGGAACACAGCTCAAAATCATAAAAAAGACCAGCTTTTTACTGGTCTGATAGGGCCTAGTGAGACCCCCGAGACTAGCCCCTAGTTACCCTTCAGGTCTAGAACTGAACTCATTCCCATGGCTTCCAGCCAAACAACAGATAGGCATATAGGGTAAACATTTACATCAGGTAGATACACTCCTGTGAACAATCAATCATGGGAGAACAGAAGGGCAGTGTTTGCACAGGGAGACAGCTCAGGGGGCAGGAATGCATAGGAAAGAAGGACACAGGGAAGAGGCAACTATAGGGAGGAAGTGGGAGGAGAGCTGTTAGATTGTAGGGAATTGTAGTCAGTGTCACGAAACAAAATGTGTATGAGCTGCTGTATGCAAAATGAATTTGCTCTGTAAACTTTCACCTAAATCACGATAAAAATTGAAAAATAAAGGTCAGTGGTCGTGGTCATCCTCACATAGACCTCTGGAGTAGCCCTAGTTTTGAAGCCAAGGCCTGACCCTCTTCTTTTTCCAATAGTCCTCCCGGACGGGGCCAGACGAAGACAGCATCTCTTTCTGCAGCCAGACCACATCCTACACAGCCGAGAGCTCCACGGCAGAGGACGCACTCTCCATCCGCTCGGAGATGATACAGCGCAGAGGTGTCTGCTTGCCTCCCTACTGGGATTCTCAAGCAGGGTGTGGGAGGGTGGTCCCACCCAGCACCTGTAGTTTTCCATGGTTCTGTGATTCAGTGAATTCAGGAAATACATAGTATGCTGTGTCCTCTTGGAGATTCGTGATGTACATTGACTGCAAAGCAGGACACGCTAGAGTTTGGGCTCTGATGTCAGGAAACCTGGTCCAAGGCCTGGTGTTGCTGTTACCAGCTGTGTGTGACCTTGGGCAAATTATTGACGTCTCTGAGCTTTAGTTTGATGTTATGTAAAAATGGTGATAATAAGAGTACTTGCCTCATTGTAGTGAATGGTATGCTGACTAACAACATACTAAAAATCAAATCTGTTGTCACTCAGTCAGTTCTAACTCATGGCAGTGCAGTTGGACAGAGTAGAACTGCCCTTTAGGATTTCCAAGACTGTAAATCTTTATGAAAGCAGACTGCCACGTCTTTCTCCTGCTGAGCAGCTGCTGGGTTTGAACTGCTTGCCCTTTGGTTAGCAGCCTAATACTTAACCACTGTGCCCCCAGGGCTCTTAACACCATAGTAGGCACTCACTGACGGTAATGATCACTCTTGATCTGGGAAAGGCTTCCAGAAAAGAAGCCTCTAGCTTTGTTTAACTTAGGTTTGCCCATGACTACTTGACTCTGGGAAGTATTTTTGCAGGGCTTTTTAATAATATTGTACAAAAGTAGCAGCCTGTGGAATGTGCCCTGAGACCTTCTGCTCTAATGATTTTTCTCCTCTGGTCTGGCCTCCAGGCTCCACCTTCCGACCCCATGATTCATTTCCCAAATCATCTGGAAAGTCAGGGCGGCGGAGGCGAGAGCGGCGGAGCACGGTGCTGGGATTGCCACAGCATGTTCAGAAGGAACTAGGTGAGCCCTGGTTTGGGCACAGTGGTGGGCGGGATCCCAGACTAGCCCATCTGCTGATTCCTGCCTCCTTTCTGTCTGCCCTAGGCCTGCGGAATGAGCGTGAGGCACCAGGTACTCCTCGGCTTCTTGGCCCCCGGGATGCTGTCCGTATCCCCACAGTGGATGGCCACCACAGTGGAGGCCTGGCCTCTGGGACTGGGGTCCGGGTGTCCCTGCAGGCACTGGAGGTGGAGGCAGAAGCCAGTGCCAAGGCAGAAGCCGTGCTGCAGCGCCACATCAACTCTGTCTACCGGGATGATACCTTTGTTGGCCGGTCCACCGGAGCCAGGCTCCCACCACTGACCCGGCCCATGTCCCTGGCAGTGCCTGGGATGACAGGAGGGGTGGGGCCTCCAGAACCCTTAAGCCCAGCCATGTCCATCTCGCCCCAGGCCACCTATCTGTCAAAGCTGATCCCACATGCTGTGCTGCCACCCACAGTGGACGTGGTTGCCCTGGGCCGCTGCAGCCTGCGTACACTGAGCCGCTGCAGCCTGCTTTCGGCTAGCCCGGCCTCTGTCCGTTCGCTGGGCCGCTTCTCCTCAGCTTCAAGTCCACGGCCCTGCAGCCGCCACCCTTCTTCCTCCAGTGACACTTGGAGCCACTCTCAATCCTCTGAGACCATTGTGTCTGATGGCTCCACCCTCTCCTCTAAGGGTGGCTCTGAGGGCCAGCCAGAGGGCTCCGTGGCTAGCACTAGTGTGGCACCTCCTCCCCAGGGGGGCAGCGGGAGGGGCTCCCCCAGTGGGGGCAGCACTGCTGAGGCCTCAGACACTGTTAGCATTCGTAGCAGTGGGCAGTTGTCTGGCCGGAGTGTGTCCCTTCGTAAGCTGAAGCGGCCCCCGCCACCCCCCCGCCGGACCTACTCACTCCATCAGCGGGGCTCAGCAGCCCCTGATGGGCCCTTAGGGTTGCCGCCCAAGCCTGAGCGGAAGCAGCAGCCCCAGCCACCTCGGCCTCCCACCACTGGTGGGTCAGAAGGAGTGGGGGCAGCACCCTGTCCATCCACCTCAGCAGGCAGCTGGGTCCCTGGCTTATCTCCAGGTGGTTCCCGGCGTCCCCCACGCTCCCCAGAACGGACACTCTCACCCTCCAGTGGGTATTCGAGCCAAAGTGGCACCCCTACCCTTCCTCCCAAGGGTCTGACAGGTGCCCCTGCTTCCCCAGGCAAGGCCCAGCCCCCTAAGCCAGAGCGGGTCACTTCCCTTCGGTCTCCTGGGGTTTCCGTATCCTCCTCCCTCACTTCTCTCTGTTCTACTTCCTCTGACCCAACCCCCTCAGATCGCTCTGGTTCCCAGATGTCAACCACCCTGGGTGACAGGTTTGTCATACCTCCTCACCCCAAGGTGCCTGCCCCCTTTTCCCCACCCCCCTCTAAGCCCAAGAGCCCCAATCAGGCTGCTGCTGCTCCTGCTCCGGCAGCTCCTGGTCCTGTCTCTATCACTGATGTCAGTCCTGAGTCCCCTCCCATTCCCCAGACATCTCTGACCCTACCACAGCGATCTCCTGTGGTCTTCAAAACCCAGTCACCCCCACCATCCCCACCCCCATCTTACCACCCTCCCCCCCCACCCACTAAGAAGCCAGAGTTGGTTGAAGAGGCTCTCCCCACTCCAGGGACTGCTGGGGAGTCCCTCCAAGATCCCAGCTGGCCCCCACCCCCACCTCCTGCACCCGAGGAGCAGGACCTGTCCATGGCTGACTTCCCCCCACCCGAGGAGGCTTTTTTCTCTCTGGCTGGCCCTGAGCCTGTAGGCCCTTCAGACCCCCTGGAGCCTGCCAGTACCTTGGTTACCTTGCCTCCTGTAGCCACTGTCCCCTCCCAGAGCCAGCCTCATGGTACCCCAGACCCTCCAGCTCCGCCAGCCCCACCTCCTGCTAGTTCTGCCCCCCAGCTCCTGGCCAAGCTTCCTCAGAAGGAACCAGAGGGCTGCAGCAAGAGCAATGGGGCTCCCAGGGAGGACTCTGGTGCACCCCTGGTCACACCCTCGCTCCTGCAGATGGTGCGACTGCGCTCTGTGGGTGCACCCACAGGGGTTCCAGCCCCAGCAGCGGGGCCATCAGCCCCCCAGAAGCCACTACGAAGGGCCCTGTCGGGCCGAGCCAGCCCAGCACCTGCACCAGCTTCAGGGCTCCATGCTGCCGTTCGACTCAAGGCCTCCAGTCTGGCTGCCAGCGAGGGCCTTGTAGGTGCCCAACCCAATGGACCACCTGAAGTCGAGCTGCGGTCTCCCCAGTCTCCCGCCTCTACTGCCAGCTTCATCTTCTCCAAGGGCACTAAGAAGCTGCAGCTGGAGAGGCCTGTGTCACCAGAGTCCCAGGTTGACCTCCAGCGGAATCTGGTGGCCGAACTTCGGAGCCTCTCAGAGCAGCGGCCGTCCCAGGCCCCAAAGAAGCAACCTAAGGCTCCCCCACCTGTGGCCCGCAAGCCCTCTGTGGGAGTTCCCCCACCCGCCTCCCCTGGTTTTCCTCGGGCTGAGTCCCTTACCGCTTCTCCCACCAATGGGCTCCTTCATGCTGAGAACAGGACTAAAGGGGTGCTGGCGGAGAATGGAGGTGTTGTGCAGCTGGTAGGCCCAGAGGAGCGGAAGCAGGGCCTGCCTGGATCAGGTACAGTGCAAGGTGTGTGTGGGGGTCCCTCTTACTGAGGATAGGAAATGGGTATCTGAAGCCCCATCATTTCGAGATGTTGCATTTTGGCTCTTTTAAGATTTCTGGTGTTAGGATGCCTGGGAAGGGTGAACTGTTGTAACCCTTTGAGTCACAGTGAAGGAGCATGGTGTGTGGGTGTTTTGGAGTCAGACCTACTCAATTTGAATTCCAACTTAACTTGATTAGTCCTAGCCTCAGTTTCCTCATTGTAAAGTATGGAGCTGTGATCCCTACATCATAGTGCTTTAGAGTCAGAGTAAAGTGTCACATGACTGGCCCAATGCTGTTGACATGGTCATCATGCTGAGTTAAATTGAGAGGGAAGGAAGAGTCCAGTGAGGATGTGCCTTGAGCCAGAGTCCAATCGTAAAATCCCCAAGTGTGTCTTGTTTTTCTCTACAGATCCACAGAAAGAGCTGGTCTAACCACCTCACTGGCACTGCTGACCCAGGAATACAATCTCTCAGGGACCTGAGCAGCTCCAAGGACAAGAGGATTCAGCAGACACAACCTAATAGAGAGGACGCCTGCAGCCTTAACCTCCACGGCCTTCGATATTATGCAAGCCTGGTGTTGCTCCCTTGTCCTCCAAGTCATCCAGCTCTCATGCCTTTTCCCAAATGAATTCACCTCTGCCGGTTGCCACTAGTCTTCGCCTTATCCTCATCTGGAAGGAGATAGCTGGTAGGAGTGGATGGCTGCGCCCCCTGCTGGTCCCAAGGCCACAGAATTGGAACCAGGACACCTCGCTTGAGGTTTTTTTTTTTTTCCCCTCTCATTTTTTCATGTCTGAATGAGCTCAGAATCATGCACATACTGTAGTCCAGAATCAAAGCACTTTTGGAAAGTGGCTGCATGCCCATCCCCCAGACTCTGTGAAGCCACATTCCAGGGGGCCTGTTTACATGGCAGCAGCATCTATCTCCTGTGGCCAGCCCATAGCTAGGACCAATCTGTCCCCTCCCTCTCATCCAGTTTGCTCCTTTCCTTAGTTCTTGGAGGTGGGCTAGTCACTGTATTCCCACAGGCTTCCCTAAGCTGGGGGTAGGGGTGGGGCTGTGGAATTCCAAAGCACAAAATGTGCAGGAGAGGTTCATCTCCCTGTGCCTCAACTTGCTACCAATTACCCCCTGCCTTCCAGTTCTGCCAGGTGCTCCATGAAGAGGACAGCTAGGGTCCAGATGGGTGTGTGGGGAGAGAATAGGTCAGAGAGGAGGTATACACAAGCTCTCTGTCCTCAGAGAACAGTGTCATCTCATTGAGAACCTGGCAGTGCCAAGCACCTGCTCCTTGTTTGACTCAATCAGGTTGCGGTGGATGGATGGGCACAACACTCAGAGGCAGGAGCCCATGGGTTGTGCCCTTTTAGCTCAGCAGCAAGTACAATGGCATTAGCTGGAAGGGAAGATCTGGTGAAGAATAGCTCATTTGGGTTGTGGGCCCAGCCCTGGCCCTGTCATTCTCTGACTTCCATCTTTTCTCTTGGTGCATGACCTTTCTGCAGCTCTCTGTCAGCCCAGCTGGTACCATTGGGGGTGCTGAGTCTGAGTGACAAGGATGAGAAGCCAAAAATACATTTTATTCCAGACTCTTCCCTAATTACTGGAGAAGGCACCTAGTGCTTCTAGGTGGGGGGCTGAGTGGTTGCTCCCTGGACATCAACCTCTGCTACTGATTTTTCCTCCAGTAGTTATAGTGGCCTTGTTTTCAGCCTGTACCCCAGGTAAGCTGGCTTCCCCATTCACCCGTGGCTCCAGTGGCGGCACCAGTATCTCGATCATAGCAGCCTGGCTAAGACCACGCCTTCTTTTGAAGCCCCTTTTCTTCAGTAGTGACTTGGGCTTGAGCTGGCAAGGAACCTGGCTTTTACTTTCTTCTCTGCCAAGGAGAAAGACTGCTCCCACAGCAAGAGTTGGGAACGGTGGTGGTGGGGGCATCGTGAGAGCCCACTGGCCCTCTTGGGCATCTTCAGTTTGTCACTACTGTGTTTTCCCTGTAGCTACAAACCAATGTTCTTCCCTTGCCCTCTGGGCAGTGGAGAGCTGTGGGGGGATATGTTGCACCTGCCCCATGAGCTGGGGAAAGAGGACAATCTAAGTGCTGCTGTGCTCAGAGCTCCTGATCTGCCCCCAGGCACCAGGCCCCACAGCCACTTGGGAGTTGCAGGAGGTGGGAGGGATTTGGGTGTCCCTTTCAGGGCTTGCAACCAGTTCATTTAGGTTCCACCTCCTGTTGAGAATTTGCATTTCCATCTCTGATCTACTGAATGTACATTTTAACAGGACCTCATCTATTAATCTGGGGAGCCTGTTTAAAATATACATTCTGATTCATTCTGTCTGGGGTAGAAATGCAAGTTCTCAGTAGGGGGTCAACTCAGAATGAACCTTTTGAAGCCCTGGTTCCTTCTCTTCTCAATGTTACTTGAGCTCCTTATCTTCAGTTAAGATGTTCTGAGCTTATTTCACTAATGGGTGGGACAGAGGACAAAGGAGAAGGGAGGATCTGCAAGAGACAACTCTTCTCTGTTCTCTGGGGTAAATGAGCTTGACCTAGAGCAATGGAGAGACCAAAAGCCTCTGATTTTTAATTTCTACAAAAAATGTTAAAGAGAGAAATATATATATATATTTCTTTAAATTTTTGAGTCTTTGATATGTCTATTACAAATAATCCATTCCCTCTGCCCTGAAGCCTGAGTGAGACACAATGAAAAAGCTCTGTATGTGTTTCATGTAAAGGTGTTAATTGATTAAATGATTAAAACTTAGTTGTGGCTTCTGCTTCTTGGTGGGGGAGGGACAGGGCTGTGGTTTGGGCAGGGTGAATGTTTTGCTTGGGGCCCCAAAAGTGAGACTCTCCAGTTCCTACTGCTCAAGGGGAAAGTCAAGGTGTCTGTCATCTTTCTTATCCCCTCCACCTCCAATTTCAGGTTACAAGTCCTACTAGCAGCCCCAGGCTGGTAAGGGTCCCCCCAGCAGCTGCTTGACACTTAAGGTCCTGTCTCTTGATATGGTCAATCTCTCAGATAAGCCCCAGACAAGCACCTTTGTTCAGATGTTTTATTTGAATTTGTGACAGTGATGGTTAACAATTCCGACTGAGTAGCCTCATGGAGAGGTACTCCACCCCTCTGTGGAGAACCATGCTGTGCCATCCACTCCACTTCTGATGCTAACACAGCTGGTTTAGGGCGTGTCCTAGCAGCCCTGAGGCAGGCCCTGCCCCCCAATGCCAAGCCTCAGGGTTGGCAGGCATGGGGAAAGATGCCAAGCACTTGGTAGACCACTAGGTTCTCTGCTTTCCTTTCCCTTCCCTTTTCAAATCCCACAATTTCCTGTTGGGGAGAAGCTGTCATTAGCCTAGTCCAGGAACCAGATCCCAGCCTGAGGCACAGCTGCTGGAGTAATTTACGCCTGGAAAACCTGGGAACCAATGTTTTTCCAATTAGAAGGACTGTGGCATAAGCTTTTTCTGTGAGTTATATTGAAACCGGATTTCTCAGAGTCAGCTGCCAAGGGAAGAAGGTAGAGCTGGACTGCCTGCTGCTGCCCCACTCATTACCACCTGGAAGGTCACCCTCAAGGCAGCCAGACAGGATGATCCTGGATTCTGGGGAGGGTGAGCTGTCCCTTATAAGTTCTGCACCTAGGAGTCCCAAACCTGCTGCTTCAGTGTCCTGGGCAACAAATGGGTAATGTTTGGAGCAAACTGAGACAGCAGATGACCTGGGATGAAGGAAGGAGGAAGGCAGCTGCCAGGCTGACTAGCTTATGTTCCCCCCCTTCAGCGATTTACAGGAGATGTGGCCCAGCTTGGTCATGAAGTTGGTCTGTTTCCATTGTGCGATGCACTCCTCAGAAATTTTAAAGTCAGCCTGGACAAGACAGACCAAAAAAAAAGTGATTACAATGATGGTGGTGGGGCTGCAAGAAAACGGGCTGTCCCATACTATAAGCAGTGCAAGCTCAACTTTCCTGACAGATAAGTTTACCAAAAGCCTGAATGTTCCTATCTTCTGACTCAGTTAATTAAGTTCATTTTAGGGATTCCATTTCAGAATATAATCATGGGCAAGTTCAAGACCCATGTACAAGGACATCCATCACTGCATTCAAATAGTAAAAAATGAGAACTACCTCAGTGTCTAATAAGGTTTTGATTAAATTATGACAATTATGATAGAATACTACCGTAATGTGAATTCTCTTCTCAGTATTTAAGAGGATGGGAAAATTTTCAGGCATAAAGTTAAATAAAGCAGGAAAAACATACACGGTATGACTCAAACTGTAAATATAGCTATCTTTCTGCACAGAAAAAGACCAGGAAGAACTAATGGCTTCAGTATCTCTAGGGGACCAGGACTAAGGCTATTTTATTTTCTTCATTTCCCCCCCTATATTTTAAACATTTTATATAATGAAAAGTCATAGGAAAAATCAGCTTGGAAACAGCAAGAAAGGAAGGAGTGGGCAAAGCTATTTGGTATGTGCAGGAGGATGGGAGAGAGAAAGAAACCATCCTAAACATCCCTGGAAGCAATCTGTCTATTGAGGAAATACGGTATTAAATAGAACAAGTCACATGCAGTGTTAGTGCTGCAAAGAGAGGGATTTGTTCTTTATTCACTAACACAGCCCAAACACCTAGAATAGCACCTGACACAGTTATAAAACCTCCTGCTGCTGAGCTGATTCTGCTGTATAGCGACCTCCAGTGTTAGGAAGCAGAACTGTTCCAGAGGGCTTTCTTGGCTGTCATTTTTATGAAAGCAGATCACTAGGCTTTTTTCTGTGCTACCACTGGTTAGGTTTGAACCACCAACTTTTAGGTTAGTGGGTGAGAGTAAACCTTTTGAACTACCCAGAGGTGACGTGTGTGTGTGTATGTGTGTGTGTATTTGCTGAATGAATGGGGGAATTCCAGGGGCAGGTCGTAGAAATCAATACTCAGAAAGCAGAGAGAGAATAAGGGCTCTGAAAAATCAAGGTGGGCAGGAGGGATCCTGGGAGGGTTCTGATGCTGGTGATCCTGTGTGGCCTTGGCAGGTATCTTGCCAGATAAAATGGGGGATAATCTCTTCCTATACCGACTGTGAAAACCAAACAAGGAAATGGCTGAAGCCCTCACACAGTGCCTCAAATAACCTGTCAGAGATTGGTACATACAAGGTCCTTCTAAGGGCTCCCTCAACCGCACTTCTCCTGCCCCCCTTCTATGCTCCTCACATACCTCCTCAGGTCTGGAATGAAGAAGGAAAAGAGGGCCTTAGGTGCAGAAGTCTCAGCTGGGAAAGGGGTAGCCATGGACTCAGTAATAAGAGCAGCCTGGGGAAAAGCGCAGACACCCAAGAGGAAGAACAGCCACAGCTACTGACCTGCAACTTCTCAAAGACTTTCTTCTTGGGCTTGAGCTCTTCGTCTGGTTGGCCCTTCTCATAGCCCTTCACAAACACTCGCTCTCCAGGAGCAGAGCCTACAGGAGGATCCAGAGGTTCAACCTTGCGGCTTACTCCTTCTCTGGAAAGAAACACAGGGCAAAAGGTGAGGCTGTGGATTGCCTCCAGCTGCTGTGGAGATCAAGGGAATTTAGGCCTTTACACAGGGGTCCTAGTGGGATCTGGAGCATTCTCAGTGCCAGAGCCCCAAGAGATCTTCACTGCTTTACTACATCTCTGGATATCACAAGGTTGGATTAATCAGGGGTAAATGCAACTCCTAAGCCAGGGGAGATGCCAAAAGATGGCAACTAACAAAGGAGGAACCGGGGCAACAGGGAGCGTAAGAACTTTACAACCAATCAAAACTGGCTTTGAAACCTGGGTCCATCTCTCTTATTAGTACTAAGACTCAGGCATATACATCTCAATTTGTTTTAATAAAATTAACTCCAGGTAAAGTGCTTCATTCTCACTACATGTACAATAAATAATCCCTTCACCCATTATCTTTTGGCATTCATTAATGAAGAGGAGAGCATTCTCATGGCTTCCACCTAGCAATATGGAAGGACACCATGTGGACCAATTCCCTGTTCTTAGCTTCCCTAGGTCCCCACCCCATGTCCTCACTCACATAGAAGCACACAGAAGCATGCCTTGGGACTCGACTCCTCTCATCTTTTGGGGTTTCAGATTGCACAGCACCACCACCAGCCTGTCCTGCAGCTCCTCCTTGGGCACAAACTGCACCAGGCCGCTCACCACAGTCCGTGGTTCAGCTTCCCCCATATCAATCTTCTCCACATACAGGCTGTCTGCATCGGGATGCTGCCGGCAAAAGGTGTTAGGCCCAGAAAGTATCATAATGGAGCAGAGTATGGGGCCTGGTCAACCCTCTGACTCCAGAAAGCGACATTCACTTTACTTTCTACAGAACTCCGTGGAGGGACGTTCTAGAGCTAACTTTTTTCCCAGGTCCCGGAGAGCAGAGAGGTGAGTGGGTCTTTATTCTACCCTTAACTGTTAAGAGGCAGGTTTAAAGTAAAATGAACCTATTTGCTGTCTAAGAAGTAGAAGGAATCTCTAACAGTGACTAGATGGCCTGGTCTGTCTGGGTGGCTACCGTTATGCCCTCGTGCTGCACAGATGGGTCCTAGGTAGACTGGTAGAGGGCCACTGCTGGCCTCACCATCTGAAGCTGCAGCAGCAACAGCCATCTCAAGGTAGTTTGGGTAGTTGAGTCTATCCAGTGAAAAGTAAATCCATGAGGGGAAATAAAGCCCAGAATAAGGGTCCCAGGCCACTGGCTGCTGAACCTATCTCTGGGAAGAAGGAAGTCCTCCCTTCACTTTCTGTCAGGGACAAAGTGGCTGATCCAAGATTAGGCCTGCAGCAAGTCCAGGCAAGGTCCACCAGACCGGATCTAATGGATAAGTATGTTCCCTCTGATTAAGACCCACCGTCCCACATCTAATGGATAAACATGTTCCCTCTGATTAAGATCCGCCGTCCCACTACTCTGAGTGCTTGACTGTGTGTGGCTGTGTAAGGTGCAGGGGCAGCAATCACTGAAGAGGCCTGTAATTAGACATCTGGGTTCTGACTTGCAATATGACATCAGGGATGTTACTTCCCATCTCCAGGCCATGTTTCCTCAGATGGAAACAGACAAACCCAACCCGACTGCCTCCCCGGATGTGGTGAAAAATGGATACCTTTTCCACACTAATGATTTTCCCCACACGGATATCCAGACGGGATGGGATGACCTCTTCTGGTTCTGAATTCTTGGCAGCACCTTTGGCAACTGGCTCTGGGAATGAGAAGAACCCCTAGGGGTCAGAACTCTCCTTCCCCATGCAGGCTGCTGATATCAGCAAATCAGGATGCTGATGTTAGGCAGGATTTAGTGCAGCACTCCCAGTATCTATCCACTGAGTTACACCTTCTTAAAACAGGGTCAGCAACCTTTCAGAAGTGACATGTCAGATTTTCATCTATTCCTTCTCTCAGGTGTTGGGCAGGGGTGGGGAAGGGATGTGTATTAGTAACTTTGTAGCCTTCAGGCATTTTCATTCATGCATTCTACATATATTTACTGAGTCCTTTCTGGGAGGGCCACACAGAGCTATCAAGGTTAATGTTCAGCACAGTGGATAAGTGGACAGCCGACGAAGAGCCAGTCAGAGCCCACGGCAGGGAACTGGGAGAAGCAAAGCCAAGCCTCTTCGAGCTGCTCTCGGTCCTGCTGCTGTCATCCCCTTCCTTGACCCTTCCTCTCCCCAACGGCCTTACTCTGCTTCGAGGGATCTGGGTAGGCAGCACTGGCAAGCTTCCTCAGTGCAGGGGTATTAAACTTTTCCCGGATGGGATCCAGCAACTTGTTCAGGGCAACTTCAACGGAATTCTTTAGGTCTCCTGGGTGGACAACCTGCAGAAGTATACAAGGGCTGGTGAAATGAGGGATTCGAACAGGACACAGGAGAGCTGAATCTACTAAGAAGAATGTTCATATAGGATGCACAGTGTTTCCCAGCAGTCTTATTTGATCCTCACAGTAAGGCAGGTAGCGCAGAGAAGGAGAAACAGGTTCAGAAAAGTTAACTGATTTGTCCAAGATCCAGGTATCTTAACTCTGAATTGCATACTACTTTGAGGGTTTTTAGAGGCTGAAAAGGACCCTGGGTGGAGTAAGCAGTTTGTAACAGGATGCTAATCTAAAGGCAGCAGTTCAAACCCATTTAGTGGCCAGGAAAGAAAGACCTAGGGATCTGCTTCCGTGAGATCACAGCCAAGAAAACCTTATGGAGCAGTTCTATACATGGGTCGCCACAAGTCGGCACTGACTCGATGGCAACAGGCTTGTCTCTACTGTTTTTTGTTTTAAAAACTGAATGTATTTATTAATTTAATTCTTCTAGTGCCTCTATTTATGCTTTGAGTAGTGACACAAATCAACTATTATTCACAGCAGAGAAGCATTCACACAGGCAACCCAAGGAATAAAGACAACCTGGGGTAGAGGTGAATGGTATGTAAGAAAGAGTAAGGGCTTTGGAGTTAGACCTGGGCTGAAGTCCCAGCTAGCCGTGGGACCCTGGGCTAGGCACTAAGTTTTGGCTTCTCTAATTATAATATGGGGATAATACTCTATCTCAAAGGGTGAGAATGAGGATTCGGTCGGGTACTGCACGTGGAAACACTGAGAGCAGCACCATTTCATGGCAACCTGTTGTCACCGAGTCAACTGTGACTCACGATGGCCCCATTGGTACAGAGCAGAACTGCTCTATTGGGCTTTCTTGGCTGTCATCTTTATTGAAGCTGACTGCCAGGTTTTTTTTCTATGGCCCTGCTGGGTGGGTTTGAACCACCAACCTTGAGGTTACAGTTGAGTGCAAACCGTTTGTGCCACCTAGAAGTTTGGTAATTCCATTTTTCTTGTCCTATAACTACCACTTTATATTCCAAATCTGGCCTGAAAGGATCTTCCAGGTATTTGGAAGAGAGATCTCTCAAGTGTGAATACCTGGAATACAGCAATGCCTATGTTTTTGTTTCTGACAGGGCCAATGCATAACCCCAAATGTACACAGAACAATGGCAAACAAAGAGGACTATCACCTCCCTGGTTCCAGACTTTACATTTCTGACAATACCACCTCATCTGCTGATTCATCTTGAATTCAGAGTCAACCAAGATTCCCTATTCTACTCCCCATATACACTGTTATTAAGTCTTCCCTTTAGGACCTGGCTCTGCCTATCTCTCCCTCGAGATCCCACCTCAGTTCTTAGTCTCCACTCAGACCAAACCACTTGGGGTTTCTTTCTAGACCATATTGTTTCATCTTTACATGTCTTTGCACAATTTATTCCCTCAGAAGTTTCCTCATAGCTTGAACAATAGGTGTTCAAGTGAACAGTGCTTGGATGCTATCCTCTCCACAAAGCTTTCCCAAAAGACAGCCAAAGTTCATCACTTCCTTTTATTTCTGGACCATGTATCTTCATTGTGCAGTAACAAAGTAAATGGTATTGGTTTAGATGTCTGCCTCCCCTACTAGACTTCATGAGGATTTAACCCTTTTAGTAATGCCAGATCCTAGCACAGCGCCTGACAGCATAGTCCACTGAGGTCCCTAGGTGGCACAGTCTGTACTCGACCACTAATCTAAAGGTTGGTGATCTGAACCCACCCAGCAGCACTGTGGAAAGAAAGGCTGATCTGCCTCTGTCAAGATTACCACCAAGACAACCCTATGGAGCAGTTCTATAATATAGGGGGTCGCCATGAGCTGGAATCACCTCGACAGCAATCATGGGGTTTAGAATGTCCTTTAATAATCGTCTCTTTTTCCTCAACCCTCATTTTGCATCTGTTCCTAAAGTACTTCATCTTGGTGGGTTTGGTCCTTCATTCCAGCCTGTCAAGTCCTTTGGAGAGTGATTGGACATCACCTTACTAGCTTTGTGGCTCTGCTCATCTTAACCTGTGAACCATCTGAATCCACATCTAAGTCATTAGCAAAATATAAAGCCCTGGAGACCATCAGGGAGCTCTGGTGGCATAGTCCCTAAGGCATTTGACTGCTAACCAGAAGGCTGGAACTTTAAACCCACCAGCCACTCCTCAGAAGGAAGGTTGGGCAATCTACTTCCATAGAGATACTGCCTCGGAAACCCAAGGAGGGGTTGCTATGAGTTGGACTGATTGACGGCCATAAGTTTGGTTTTTGGAGACCATCAAGGCCAAGCCCTGTGGCACACAATTAGAAATGAGTTCAGTGGACATTGGTCCTCTTCTGGTATTACCTCATCAGCAAAGTCCTTCTCTAGGTCCAAGTAAGATGTGTAGGTTTTGTTTCCACCCCATTTCTCATCTCGAAGGATCACAAATTCTGCAAGATAAAGGAGTCCATGCCAACAAACTCACTGATGATGGCAGTCAGCATTCCTAGCCCAAATACATGAGTATTTGCAGTTTTTGCCATATATTTAGAATTTTATTATCTGGCATTTTACTGTTCTTAAACTGGATATGTGGCCATGTTGTATACTAAGCTGGCATTGAAGCTCCTCAAGGTAAGTACTGTGCCTTTTATTTCTTTTGTTTCCTTCTAGTTCAACACAGAAAGAGTCTTGGTGATGCCAACAGTTAAGTGCTTGACTAATAACGGAAAGTTTGGTGGTCTGAATCTTCCCAGCAGCTCTGTGGGAGAAAGATCTGGTAATCTGCTCTCGTAAAGATTACAGCCAAGAAAACCCCACAGTGAGGTTCTGCTCTGTCCCATGGGGTTGCTATGTGTCCAAACTGACTCAACAGCAGATCATAACAAGAAGTCCAACACACGTGTCCATACCCTCATTTTGATCACCATGCCTAGCCTGACACCCCCCACAAAACACAGCCTGGCAAGAAACCTACGAACAACTAAAGATACCCCAACCTCAACCACACATTAATATATGAGAAATTATAGAATCAGGGAAGCCAGTCCCTGGAGTCAGTGACAAATCACAAGTTTTTATAGCACTACTTTTGCTATCCTGACTGGTCTCTAAGAAGAAAACAGCGAGTGTCTTACCAGATTTCAGGGGAAAGAGGACATGCTTGATGAAGGACAGAACCCCATTGTTCTCCACATTCCCTGGCTCACAGAAGGCCTTTTTCAGTTTTTTCTTCACATCCTCCTTCCGATCAAGGAGATCAATCTTGGACTCCTAGAAGCCATGGAAAGGAAGAGGACCTCTTGCCATTGAAAACAAGACTATGCTCAACTATTCTGCATATTAAAAAATTTTTTTCAACACAAATTTCAACACCCATCAACAGGTGAATGGATAAACCACAGTGCATACAATGGAATACTACACAATGTTAAAGAATAATGGTATCTGCGAAACACTTCAGAACAGATGAAACCAGAGGACATTATGCTGAGTGAACTTAGTCAATCACAAAAGAACAATTATCAAATGATACCACTACTGTAAAAAGTCTAGAAAAGGTTTACACAGAGAGAGAATCAATTTTTGAGGTTACCGGGGTGGCAGGGGAAGAGAGGGTAAATCACTAGAGAGTAGACACATACTTACTTTGGTGAAGGGAGAGGCAGTACACAATAAGGTACAAGAGTTAAAGGCAACAAAGGTAAATACCATTATATACACAATCCTGCAGTTAACAGTGATAACAATAATCTATGAGTGGATACACAGGTAAGCAGATACATAGGGGCGGGAAGGCAAATGGGACTATACCCATGAGTATGTATAGGTTTGACAAAGGATATCCCTACACATGTATTTATATGTGCTACAAATATATCCACGAATATACTAGAGCATACAGGGCGCAAAGCTATAAAAACTTCTTAGCCATAACAAATACCTTGAGTAAACGAGTCACTGGGCCTCAGAGACTCAGGACCATAGTTTCGGGGACACAAGGTCAACTGGAATAACACAGTCCACAAAGACAATGTTCTATATCCCACTTTGGTGAGTAATGACTGGGGTCTTAAACACTTATGACAGCCATCTAAGGGGCAACTATAGGTCTGTGTCCAAAGCAAACAAGAGTGAAGAAAATCAACGACACAAGGAAGCAATCAGTCCAAAAGACTAACAGCCGTGTGAGTCCCACCCTCCACAACCCTGAGACTAGAACTTGATGGTGCTTGGCTACCGCTGCTTACGGCCCTGAAAGGGGTCACTGCAGAAAGTCCTGGAGGGTGGGAGAAAAATGTGGAGCAAAACTCAAAATGATAAAAAAGACCAGGCTTACTGGCCTGGTAAGAGAACCCCAAGACTATGGCCTTAAGATACCCTTCAAGCCTGGAACTGAACCTACCCCTGTGGCTCAACTTTCAGCCAAACTACAAAATGAACCAAACACTAGGGAAGTAACACATTCATTAGAACAATCAATCACATGGGATCAAAAGGGCAGCATCTGCCCAGGGATAAAGCTCATAAGACAGGAAGGGATAGGACAGAAGGATGAAGGGAAATGGTCAACACAGGGAGGAAGTGGGAAGGGTGCTGTTACATTGTGGGGATTGCAATCAATGTCATGAAACAAAATGTGTATGAATTGTTGAATGGAAAACCAATTCACTCTATAAACTTTCACCCAAATCACAGTTTAAAAACAAAGATTTCAACATCAAACAACTTTAACAAAAGAATTAATCACAATGAAGAACCACTCACAGTGGCAACCCAACACACAAAAACTGTTTTCTGTGTTTTTTCCAGGCCTTATCCACAACATACAGAATTGTTACAAATTTGTACTTAAGAGAATAAATGTCTATTCTTTGCTTTTTTACTTGAGATATAAGTATTTCTGAGTGGCTACCTACTCTTCATTTATAATTTTTATACTGTATTATAGTTCCAATTATTAGTGGCACATAATTAAAAATTTCTAAACTGTTAGACTGTCCTAATTTTAATTTAATAAATAATGCTTATATTCAGCATCTTCACAGAGGGTTTTTGCATTTTCTGGATTATTTCCTTAACATACCTAAAACTACTAGGCCCAAAACTGTTTTTTGGAAGGGATATATTAAACAACATTGCCATTAGCAATATGTGTGAATACTTGTTCACAGTACTCACCACCACCAGGCACTAAATATACAAGTTAGAGCCATTTCTCCTATTTAGAGAAGTTTATTTTGGAACGAGTGAGCTATGCTCATGAGTTCACTGGTTACCAAATTATGGTCTACCTGTGACTGTATGAATCACCTAGTGTATGTTTAAAAAATATGAATCACTAGGCTCTGCCCAAACCTAATGAATCCAAAATTGGCGCTGGACCAGGCATTTTTTCAAAAGTTCTCCAAGGGATTCTGATGTAGTAGTTTAAGAATTACTGCTAGGACTGATTTCCATGGTTAAGATAGGGCAAATGTCACCAGGTATGGGACGAATGATACGATACTTTGCCAGAGGAACCAACACATGGAGCATATAGAGAAAAAGGAATGAATGTATTCCTTTAAAACAGTAATAAAAACACATGCACACGTTTCCCAATCTCTGCTCAAAAAATTCAAAAGAATAAGTCCCTCTTCAGTCTTCCTTATCCATCGTCCAGCTTTTGGATGTACACGAGGCAACTGACAATACCATGGCTTGGGTCAGGAATGCACCTGTTGTTGAAACATCTCAATGGGTATCCCATCAATTCCTGGAGCCTTGTTTTTCGCCAATTCCTTCAGTGCAGCTTGATTTCCACCTTCAGTGTCATCGGTTCTTGGTCATATGCTACCTCCTGAAATGGCTGAACATTGACTGATTCTTTTTGATATGATGACTCTGTGTATTCCTTCCATCTTATTTTGATGCTCCCTGCATTGCTCAGTATTTTGCAATAGAACCCTTCAATATTGCAATTTGAGGCTTTTTTTCTTTAGTTCTTTCAGCTTGACAAATGCTGAACATGTTCTTCCCTTGTGATTGTCTAACTCCAAATCTTTGCACATTTTATCATAATACTTTGTCTTCTCAAGCTGCCCTTTGAAATCTTCTGTTCAGCTCTCTAATTTCATTTCTTCCATTATATTTATATTATATTATAACACTATACTTATCAATATGGGTTGTATTCTACATCACCTTATGAATCAAGAAGCTAATTGATAAAACAGAACCATAGCCTTCTCATTTCTAAGGCTGAATCTTACGACAGTTTTGTGAATGAAGAAATTCCTTCTGTTTGTGCTTTTGATCAGTAGCAGTAAAATCTGTTAAAATTATGATTGGATCTCATCAGGATTGGGTCTTTCAATATTCAAGGAGCCCTGAATTAACTGGATAACTTAAGGTTCCTTACAACTCAAATATCCAAGAATTCTAGTTAGCTGGGTTACTGTTCTATGAGTCCTCAATCTCCCTATCTCTTTCTTGCTCAAGATTTCTAAACTCAGAGTTGGCAACCTACCTCTTCTGAAGAGCTCATTTTGCTGCCAGTTAATCCTGGGACCATAGGATTCATCAGATGGACTCGTTTTGAATAGCCCAGTGTAGGGAGATACTGGAAGGTCAGAAAGAAACACACACAAGCAGGTATTAGCATAAATTCATCCTCAGTGCCCTGATCTCATCTAACATGGCCAGTAACTTAATAGTTTGGTGTATTCCTTCCAATCTTTTTTCCCCAACAGTGATCATAATATAAATAGAGATTTTTTTTCCTACTGTTTTTCTATTAGTATTATATTATGAGGCTATTGGACTTACTCTCCCACCATAAACAACCATAAAAGGTGGACAACACATATATAAACAGCCATTTGCAGGCACTGGATAGCAACCAATGTAGGGCTAAAACCCTTGAGAGACGGGAAGCAAAGGTGGTATCACCTTCACACTGGCTTTCTCCCTGGGTAATTTTTCAAACCAGGTGCTGAGAAGAGACTAAGCAGAGAGCAGCAGTCTCACTAAGCAGAGAAGATGGGTTGGAGTTCAAGGTTGCCGGAAGCTGCGACTTGAAAGAATTATAGAGAGGGAAGTCCTCCCCCAAAAAAACTATGTCAAAGTTCCCCTTGACTCTTTGGCTGACTCATGAGCTGCACACGCATATGGTGAGATTCTAGGAAGTCCTGCAGAGAACAGGCTCTGCGTGGCTAGAGACCTGAGGAGGGCTTTCAGAGGCGACATAGTTCTAGGAGAACAGGTTGATATCTAATCAATGTAGAGAGGTCTGAACATCCTGTGATTTCAGTTTGAAACCCCACAAATGGCACATTTGAGGAAAAAGGATCACATCTAGAAATATATGCAAAACTGAAACAGATCTGTTTCATTAAAGCCTTAAACCAAACCCTGACAGGATTAAGGTCAGAAATTTAAGTGCTGCCAGAACAAAGCTTATCACTCTATAAAAGAAGATAACATAGTCCAGAGACTCTGCAATATATTATAGTGTCCTTGATACAATAAAAAAAAGTACTAGAAATGGAAACAAACAGAAAAAAGTGACTGATAATCAAAAGAAAACAGAGTAAACTGAAGCAGACTCAGAAACAATCTAGATATTGGAGTTAGCAGACCAGGAGTATTAAAATAACTGATTGGTATGTTAAAGAGAACAGAGGAAAAGTTGGACAAAGCAGATAAAAGAGGAAGAATTTTAAGAGAACTGAAATCTATTAAAAATAAAAAAAGAAGAATCAAATAAAAGTTCTACAATTGCACAATTAAAAAAAAAAAACCCAAACTCACTGTCATTGAGTTGATTCTGACTCATAGCGACCCCTCCTAAGGTTTCCAAGGCAGCATCTCTACGGAAGTAGATTGCCCAATCTTCCTTCCGAGGAGTGGCTGGTAAGTTTGAACTGCCAACTTTCTGGTTAGTGGTCAAAATGCCTCAGGCACTACGCCACCAGTAAATGTAATAGAAGAGAGAATTAGTGAACTTGAATAAAGGTCAGTAGAAACTATCCACACTAAAGCAGAGAGGGAACAAACAAATGAAAACAATAGAACAAAATGGGACATGCTCAAAAGGTCTAAACAAGAGAGGAGAAAGAGTAAGATAGAAGCAATATTTGAAGAAATAATGGTTGAGAGGTCTGAAAATTAGATGGAAACACCAACCCACAGATTCAAGAAGCTCAGCAAAACCTAAGCAGAATAAATACAAAGAAAACTACATATTATCTTCAAAAGGAGAAATAATATTTTTAGGTAATTTTTCAATGGAAATATGGAAGCCCGAAGGCAATGGGATGTCTCTTTTAAGTGCTAAAAGCAAATAAACTGCAAAACTAGAATTTTATATCCAACGAAGGTGAAACAAACATATTTTCAGGTAAAAGAAAGCACAAAGAATTGATCACTGAAAGACCTGCCCTACAAACACAAAATACTAAGTGGGGCTATTTCAGCTAAAAGAAAAAGGTCCCAGACTTCTGGTAAGATGGAGGAATAGGCAGACAAGCGACACTGACCCTCTTCAACAAAGAAAAGAAAAACCAATTGACAGAGATACAGAAGATAATCCTGGAGCCCTGAGCTTTTAAAGGAACTATACAGAAGTGGATTAGGCACCAATTAGTGGAAAAACCTGAACGAAAACAGTGAGTACAGAGACGGTCGGGGCTGCGGACTATCAGCTACTCTGACGGGACCAACACCTAAATAATTCCAAGTGGTGTTGGCACCTGAGAATTGACCAAAAAAAGATTAACCCTGGTCACCATGGGCTGCAGGGACGACTGCACTCGTGGCCTATGACTAGGAAGGGAAACAGTAAAGTGGGGGACACCTGAGCTGTTGACTTCCTGCTATCTGGAGGGTGCAGCCATTTTGATTGTTTATAAGTGGCAGCCATTTTGGATATTTAAAGTGACTAAGGATTCAGCCATTTTGAATGTTTACAAGTGGAGGCCATTTTGGATATTTAAAGTGACCGAGGGTGTAGCCATTTTGAATGTTTACAAGCGGTGGCCATTTTGGATATTTAAAGTGACCCAGGGTGCAGCCATTTTGAATCTTTACAAGTGGCAGCCATTTTGGATATTTAAAGTGACTGAGGGTGCAGCCATTTTGAATCTTTATAAGTGTCAACCATTTTGGATTTTAAAATGATAGCATCCTCATTTGGGTTCCAGGGACCTAAGAATAGGCTCTGTTTGCCAAGGTTGGCAGGGACATACAAGAGGCTGACAACAGGAAAGGAGACAGGTGGTGAGTGTATAAGTGCTGTTCACTAGCAAATAGAGGAGCACAGCACAGTACCCTGCTTGCATAGATAACATACAAACAAAACAAAGAAAACAAAAATAATGGGCAAGTCACTCTAACATACAATCACCAATTAAATATAAACACAAAAACATCACAATGCCTCGGAGACAACAGAGCATCACAGTCCACACAAAGAAGCAAGATAAAGCAGGAGAAACAAGGAACTAGGATACGGGCCCCGCAGCATTGGAACTCCCTGATAAGGAATTCCAAAGAATCATATTTAGGTATCTTCAACGAATTGAGAGACAGATCAAGGAAAACACAGACAAAGTCCTAGAACAATTTCAAAGACAATACAAGAACAAAATGACAAAGTAAAAGAAAAATTAGAAATAAAATCTACACACAGAAATCCAGAAGATTAATACTAAATTTTCAGAAATAGATAAGACATTGAATGGGCAAAGGAGCAGAACTGAATCAATGGAAGACAGAATTAGGGAGACTGAAGGCAAATAAATACCTGAACACTTCTTTGGAAAGGGATCAATCAGGAAAAAGATCAAAACAAAATGAAGAAAGCCTAAGGTTCATGTGGGATACCATCAAAGGAATAACTTATGTGTAATCAGAATTTCAGAACAGGAAGAGACAAATAAAAACACAGAGAATTGTCAAAGATTTGTTGGAAAACAATTTTCCTGGTATGATGAAAGATGAGAATATATCCATTCAGGAAGTCCAATGAACCCCAAACAGGAGAGACCCCAAAAGAAAACCACTAAGACATACCATCATCAAAGTCACCAAAACCAAAGACAAAGAAAGAATGATGAGAGCAGCACAGGAGAAACAAAAAGTTACCTATAAGGGGCAACCAATAAGACTAAGCTCAGATTTTTCAACAGAAACCATGTAGGTGAGAAGACAATGGGATGGTATATATAAAACCTTGAAAGTGAAAAATTTCCAACCAAGAATTATGTAGCCAGCAAAACTGTCCCTCAAATATGATGGTGAAATTAGGACATTTCCAGATAAGCAGAAATTAAAGGAATTTGTTAAAACCAGAACAACCTTACAAGAGATGCTAAAGGGAGCCCTTTGGACAGAGAAGCAACAACAGCCAACAACAACTGACCATTAACACACATGATGATATGACATAACCCAGAAAATAACCCAGCTATGGAAGGATCCAAAGTAAAGAAGCCTACAAGATTGGAAACAGGGAACCGGAGATATCAATTGACAAATGAGGACAGCTACAAACCAAAAAGAGGGAAAAATCTGTGTCATTACAGAACTTCTAGATGGTAGGGAAGTCAAGACAACTACAAGATAGAACTTGTAGTTCTAAACTTGGGAAGAAAACTATAAACCACAGGGTAACCTCAAAGAAAAATGATAAACCTTCACATCAAAATAAAAAAGAGGACCAGAATAAATATTCAGCAAATACTAAAAGAATAGCAATGAAGGAAGTGATAACACGATTCATAAACGAAATGAGCTTAGCATAGAAAATTATATGGAAGAAAGAAATTGACACCATGAAAAAGCACATAACAAAAATGACAGCAACAAATTCATATTTGCTGATAATTATATATCTGGCAAGGGACTTATCTCTAAGATTTATAGCAGAGGAGTGGATGACCAAACTGTGGTACATACACATAATGGAATGCTATGCAGTACTGAAGAATAATGCAGAGTCTGCAAAACACCACATAATATGGATGAACTTGCAGGACATTATGCTGAGTGATGTAAGTCAATCACATAAGGACAAATGTAGTATTAGTTCGTTGTTTTGGAGGATCTTGGAAAGGTTTATATATGGAGGGAAACTTTCTTTGTTGGTTGCCAGGGGTGGGAGGGGAGGGAACACTGGGAAAAAAAAAAAAAAGTATTGATCCATGTCACTGTAGTTTTGTGTATTTCACTGTACATAAATGATATTTCAACAAAATGCATTTACAAAACAAACAAACAGAAAGAAAAAGAATAAGGTCCCAGATGGAAACAAAGAAGCACAGAACTACAGGAAGGAATCAAGAATAACAAAAAGCATAAATGAGGCTACATGTACATGAAAACTGACTTAAAAACTATCTTTGTGAATTTAAAATATATGTAAAATATATGACAACAATCACAAGAAGGGCAGGACTAATAGACTAATACTATTGTAAGGTGCTTGCATTGTTTGGGAAGTAGTAAAAAATTTTTAAGTAGAATTAAATAGAAGTATAAGTAGAACTTAAGCAAACAAACAAACAAACAAAAAAAACATAACAAGTGTAACTGTGACACATTACTAAAATACATGTTATAATCTCTATGACAGAGGTAGGGAAAAATCTTTTCTTTAAAGGTCCAGATAGTAAATATTTTAGGCTTTGTGGGCCATATATGGTCTCTGTTGAATATTTTTCTTTATATTTTCACACCCTTTAAAAAATGGAAAAACCATTCTTAGTTTTTGAGCTGCACAAAAACAAATCATCAGCTATATTTTGCTGATCACTGGTATTACAATAAAAGGTTCAACTAAAGTGTTAATAGAAAATAGAATAATGAAAAATACTTGAGTAATCAAAAAAATTACATAGTGAGCATTTCCCCATTCATTGTATGTACCCCCAAATCACTATTTTAATATTCTATAATGAGGATTTATCATAATGTATTTACCCAATCTCTTACCACTAAATATGTGTATTTTCAATTTTTGGCTATAAATTGATAATGTGATAAACACTCTTGTATACAACTCTATGCGCATATTGCTAATTACCTTCTTAGGAGAAATTTCTAGAAGTAGATTAGGTAAAAGGGTAGGAACATTTGAGGGTCACCAATCACCTTCCCCTCCACTCGTCCGTCAGTCGGTTGTACTGTGGTGCCTTGCATGTTGCTGTGATGCTGGAAGCTACGCCACTGGTATTTCAAATACCCACAGGGTAACCCCACAGTGGACAGGTTTCAGCAGAGCATCCAGACTAAGACAGAGTAAGAGGAAAGACCTGGTGATCTACTTCTGGAAAAAATAGGCCAGTGAAAACCTTATGAACAGCAGCAAAGCACTGTTTAATACAGTGCCAGAAGATGAGCCCCTCAGGTTGGAAGGCATTCAAAATGTGACTGGGGAAGAGCTGCCTTCTCAAAGTAGAGTCGATCTTAATGATGTGGATGCAGTAAAGCTTTCAAGACCTTTATGAGTTGGTATGGCGTGACTAAAAATGAGATCAAACAGCTGCAAACATCCAATAATAATTGGAACATAGAATGAATGAAGTATGAATCTAGGAAAATGGAAAGTTGTAAAAAATGAAATGGAACGCATCAAGATCGATATCCTAAGCATCCATGAGCTGAAATGGACTGGTATTAGCCATTCTGAATCAGACAATCACATGGCATACTATGCAGGAATGATAAATTGAAGAAAAATGGTGCTGCATTCACTATCAAAAAGAATATTTAAAGATCTATCCTGAAGTACAATGCTGTCAGTGATAGGATAATATCCATAGAGCTACAAGGAAGGCAAGTTAATACAACTATTATTCAAATTTACATACCAACCACTAATGCTAAAGATGAAGACATTGAAGATTTGTACCAACTTCTGCAGTCTGAAATTGATAAACCATACAAGCAAGATGCATTGATAAGTACTGGTAATTGGAATGCAAAAGTAGAAGGATTGGTAGCTAGAAAACATGGCCTTGGTGATAGAAAGAACACTGGAGATGATAGGACAGAATTTCGCAAGAGTAACATAACAATTTATTCATTGGAAATACCTTTCCACAACAACATAAATGGTAGACCTCACCAGATGAAATACACAGGAATCAAATCAACTATATCTTTGGAAAGAGGCAATGGAGAAACTCAATATTATCAGTCAGAACAAGGCCAGGGGCTGACTGTAGAACAGACTATCAACTGTTCATAGGCAAGTTCAAGTTAAAATTGAAGAAAATTAAAACAAACTCACGAGAACTAAAGTATGACCTTGAGGGTATCATATCATTCTTTTATACGTGGAGTCGCTATGTGTCAGAACTGCCCTGACAGCACCTAACAAAACCAACAGTCATCCCTCTAGGGATTTATATTTCCTCTAGCAGCGATTTCCCTATTCCCTTGCCAAATACCAAGCACTTCTCAAAAGCTTGTTTATTTATTTATTTAAAATTGTGATATGGGTGAAAGTTTACAGAGCAAATTCATTCTCCATACAGCAGTAGTTCCATTACACTTTGTCTCATGACATTGACTGCAATTTCCCACAATGCAACAGCTCCCCTCCCATGTCTTCCCCATAGTTACCTCTTCCCTGTGTCCTTCCCTCCCATGCAGTCCTGCCCCCTAAGCTGTCTCCTTGTGCATACACAGCCCTTCTATTCTCCCATGACTGATCTCTCCAAGAAGTGTATCTACCTAATGTAAGTGTTCAGTTCATATGCCTGCCTTCAAAAGCCTTTTTTAACTTATTCTAGTTTTTCCCAGAAAAGAACTAATATGATTTTGTGCTTACTTTCTGCTCTAAACCCTGTTAAGCCTCATTTCAGAGATGACCAGTTTACATAAGATCCAGAACAATGCATATCAAATGATCTAGGAAAGAAAAATAGTTCTGATTGGCAATACACTTCCCAGGAAACTGAAGCAAACACAACACGTTCCACGGCAGCTTCTTGGAGGCTAGTATGTGGCTGGGAGCAAGAGTGTGGCCTTTGGAGTCAGGTAGATTTGGTATTAATTTCTGCTCAGTCACTGAGTGACACTAAACAACTTTTTTCCCAGTTTTCACATCTTCAAAACAAAGGAGAATAATACCTACCATACAATATAGTTATGATTGTTGGGACTGGCACATCATAGTTCAATAAACTTCAGTTGAAAACCTCTGAGGCTCAAATGAGAAAAGACAGGAAGGAGGACACTAACCTTTTCTGCAAAGGTGAAAATCTTTCTCTGATCAATGCCTCCAAATTGAGCATCTACTTTCAAATACTCTTCATCCAAGGCCTGTGAAACGAAAAATATGAGCATAAACTCTTACTGTATTTCTTCAATATGAATTGGAGAAAACAGAAATTTTTGACAATTGCCAGATTCTTCAGAAGGTAGAGCCAGGGAGTAAATAAATAGCATTCAGCATCTCTGTTGGCCTCAAGAGCTTAGCACAAACATTGCTAAGTGCCTATAATGAACAGTGCCTGTAATGAAGATGTCATGGGGCACAGAGCAGGAAAAGCTTTTGCCTTCAGGAAGCTCACAATCCAGTGGAGAAAGAAGGGAAGATGAAGGAAGACAAACCACAGTCATGTCAAAGGGACCCCACCAAAAAAAGCAGCCTATGACAAACATCAAATAGGGGGCATACATCAGTTTTGTAAGAGTTCAGAAAAAAGGCAAGACTGAACTAGTAAACTGACAGTTACTGTCACTTTACTACATGCCTGGCCTAGTGCCAGTTCTGTGGATGCAGAAATAAATCAGAGCCAGGCTCCAATTCTAGAAGCCTAATTATCCAATTGAAGAGAGAGAGAGAGAGAGATATACAGATCATTTAAATACAGTGTGCCAAGGGCTAACCTAGATGTTCACTTGAGGAACAGTTCTAACACAAAGGAAGACACGACTCTCTCTCTGATTAGACAGGTGGTGAAGACTTCCTACAATCAGTCTGTGGGTTGAGCTGGATTGGTGAAGAACATACACAGGCAAACCTCGGAGACACTGTGGGTTCAGTTCCAGACCACCACAATAAAGTGAGTATCACAATAAATTGAGTATCACAATAAAGTGAGTACCACAATAAAGTGAGTACCATAATAGAGTATCACAATAAAGTGAGTCCCATGAATGTTTTGCTTTCCCAGTGCATATCAAAGGTATTCACACTATATTGTAGTCTGTGAAGTGTGCAACAGCATTATGAAAAAGTGTGAAATACTGTGAGAATTATCAAAATGTGACAAAGAGACAGGAAGTGAGCATATGCTATTAGAAAAATGGTACTGATAGACCTTTTGACACAGTGTTGCCATAAACCTTCAATGTGTAAAAAATGCTGTATCTGTGAAGCACAATAAAATGAGGTGTGCCTGCAGATGTTTTCATCATGCAGAGGAGACAGGGAGGGTGTAAGAACACCCAGAGGAGTGAAGCATTTAGGAGACTGAGAGTGATTTGGTTTGCAAAAGCATACCTTAAGAGGGAATGTGAGAAGTGGTGAGTGACCAAGGTTAGAAAAGTAACCATGAATATCATTCTAGGGGCTCCACCCTGGGTGGTGCAGATGATTAAGTGCCGACTACTAGTTGAGTGTCATGCTAGGGTGTTAGGGTGCCCAGCTTCTTCCTAGCCAGTGAATGGTTTTAAGGAAGGGAGAAACATGACCAGCACTGGAGGAGCAGTAACAGGGTAGAGCATGAACTGCAGGCCTGTGGGTTGGACACAGGGGAAATAGTGGAAAGGCTGCTGTTAGAGTCCAGATTAGAGAGGATGAACCAAGGCAGTGGAAATGGTGAGCAAGAACGAATTTGAGAGATATTTAGGAAATAGAATTGATAAGATTTGGAGCCTGACTAGACTGGGTGGGTGGGTCAGGGAGCAGTGAGGAATGAGAGAGAGAAGAGAAAGATGAACAGGAAAAGGAAGAATCTAGAACCACACTATTCACGTAACTTTTTGCGATGATGTACTATCTATGTGCTGTCCAGTACGGTATCCACCAGCCACATGTGGTTAGACAGCACTTAGGTAATCCATACTAGTTGTAATACATCAAACATTATACACATATTAAAAAACAAAAAAATTTAAGTCTTTCTACCTTTTCATTCCCCCTTCCTGAGGTAACTAGTATTAATGACTTGGTTTAAATTTTTCTCATCTTTGTCCTTGTTCCTATAAAGACATACATACATATATGAAATACAGTGTATGTCTTTTGTTTAACAGAAAATAAGACCATGCCTGAAGTTTATTTTCATATATCACTCTGAAATTTGTTTTCTTTAGTTAAGATATTGTGATTAACATAATGAAGATATATGAGGTGAGCAATGTCTTAAAGGACAAATAGGGGAGGACTTAGAACTGAAGAAGTGTAAGAGTGCCCCTGCAAGTGGGGGAGAAGGATAACGAGAGAGACAGGAAGGAAGGCCTATGGTATGGTGAAGAAACGGAAATGCTAGTTTAAGTGGTGCTGAGATAAAGGTTTGTGCCCAGCTGTCAGGGTCAGAATGGAAAGCGGGGGCTACCTCCTCTCCCTCAGTACCTGCAGTCCAGGGTACAGCAGCCCACTCAGCAAAGGGTGCTCCACCTGCTTCACCACCTCAGCGCCAGCTTTCTTGGCATCGTGCTGTGTGACCACAGAGGACAGTCTGTACACATCTAGTGTGTACTCTCTGAGGAGGAAAGAAGAGGGGACAGCTGTGGGACGGGCCCAGGTTTCAGTTTTCCAGGGAAATCCTAAATCACACCAATGTTGCTTTTGTCTGAACAGAAGTTGCCAGGTGGAGAGTCATCTTCTCCCCAGGGCTTTGTGACACACGTCCATTTATCTATTTATTCCCCCAATCCTAAAACCTTCAAAGAGAGCATTGCATAGTGGTTTCTGAAATGTGAGACAGCCATGCTCTCATTCAACACAGAACTTAATTTTTATGTTTTCCCCTGGAAAAACCTCAGCTATTATCTCTTCAAATACTGCTTCTCTGACATTTCCCTCTGTATTCTTCTTCTGGAACCTCAGTCAGAAAAATGTCAGAATTTCTCGATCTATCTTTCATATCAGTTTTTTTTTTTCCTTTTGAAACTTAAGTACATGTAGGGAATAATGAACAATATTGAGAACAGCGTACCCCACCACCCAGTTTAAGAAAAAGGACCTAACAATTACTCTGAAGCTCTTAAGTGGCCCCCTATAATCTGACCCCACTTCCTCCTCCTTTAAAGTAACTACTCTCCTGGACTTTCATGTTTCATTCCAGTCTTATGTCTGTATCGCTAAATATATGTTATAAATATTCTTGTACACGTACCCTGGCACACATGTACAACCTTTACTCTCTCTATATGCCTAGGGTAGAATTTCTGGATCACAGGCGACTTTCATGTTCAACTTTACTGGATAATGCCAAGCTATTTTCCATCAATTTTTATTACTTAATATTGTCATTGTTTAAAACTTTTGCCAATCCTTTATGAGAAATGTTTTTGTTGTTATAATGACCTACAGGGATATTTTTATAAAAAATAGTAAATTTCTGCAGAAGCACTGCACCAAAAAAAAAATTGCCAATCTTTTAAGTGTGGAATGGCTTCTTACTATAGTTTTAATCCACATTTCTTTGGATAATAACCAAGAACATTGAAATCTTTCTTGTTTATTAGACATTCAGTTTCTTCTGTGAAATGCCTAGTTTAGTCATATCTTCTAGACTGACTCATTTATTTTTCTCAGCAGAGAATTTTATTGTTATTATTACTGATACAAGTATTGTTTTTAACATCAAGATTTTTTTTTCATTGTGGTAAAATATACATAACGAAACATTTGTCATTTTTATCATTTTTATGTGTATGGTTCAGTGACATTCACCATGTTGTGCCATTACTACCATATCCATTTCCAAACGTCTTCCTTTCCCTTAACAGACACTCAGTGCTCCTTAAGTAGTAACTCCCCTTTACTCCCTCCCAACTCTCCTTGGTAACTAATTCAGATTCATAATGACCTTATAGGGCTGAGAAGAACTGCCCCATAGGTTTTCCAAAGCTGTAATCTTTACAGAAGCGGACTACCACATCTTTTCTTCCAGAGAGCAGCTGGTGGATTCAAACCACCGACCTTTCAGGTAGCAGCCTAGTGCTTACCCACTGTACCAGCAGGGTTCCTTACAGCCATCCTACTGGGGGTGAAAACAGTATTTAGTGGTGTGTTTTTAACAGTTTCTACATGTACCATTTAGTGACACTGATTACATTCTTCAAGTTGTATCACTATTTTCACCCTCCTTTTCTCAGTTGTTCTTGACTCATTTATTTGTAATTGATTTTGTAGTTTTTAAGGTATAATACTGGATATTAATCCTTTTCCAGTTACATGTGTTATGAATATCTTCTTCAGTTTGTGACTCATCTTTTTAACTTGCCTGTCCTGCTTTATTTTTCTCTGTAGCACCTATCATCACAGGGCACACAAAATATATCATTTATTAATTGTTTACTGGCCAAATTCCCTCACTTGGATGTAAGTTTCATGAGCACAGGAACTTCTGTTTTAACTTACTTTTGCATACCCAGCACCTAGAACTGTGCTTAGCATATAAACCTAAAACCAAACCAAACCCATTGTCATCAATTCTGACTCACACTGACCCCAAAGGACAGAGAACTGCCCCCTTAGGGTTTCCAAGGCTGTAAATCTTTACAGAAGCAGAGTGCTTTAAGCACTGTGCCACCAGAGTACCTTAGTTAGCCCCCATAAATATTTGGAGATTAAATCTAAAAATGAACGAAACCTGAGGCACTCTTCTGAGGCTGTATATATAAATATCTGGTTATGTAAAGATGTTTATGTGCTTTTATTTAAAATAAAATGGAGAATGGTAAAGAAAATTATGTTAGATGAAGTAAAAAGAGAAATTTACTTGTGAGCAAGAGAATTGGGCTTACATTTAACTTGCTTACTCATTAGGTGTATGAACTTGGGAAAGTTAAATTTTAATCTATTTCCTTACTTGTGAAATAGGATAAAATAATACTTTGAAAAATTGTTCTGAGGGCTTAAATATGAAACTACTTAGTAGTGATACATGGCATGTAGTTACAAAGGCTATTTGGGAGGTTTTAAAAATTAAAAAATGTAGAGATTATAAACAGCATGAAGAATTACTCAGGAAAGAGAAAGTTAAAAAATTGTTGTTGTTGTTGTTATGTGCCATTGAGTCGGATCCGACTCATAGCGACCCCTCCTTGGGTTTCTGAGGCAGTATGACTAAGGAAGTAGATTGCCCCATCTTCTTTCTGAGGAGTGGCTGGTGGGTTTGAATCGCCAGCCTTCTGGTTAGCAGTCAAGTGCCTTAGGCACTATGCTACCAGAGCTCCTGTTAAAAAATTAGGATACAAAATTCTATCTGTGGTAATATTACAAACGGGAATTGACAAAGATTGAATTTGTTGTTAGAGGAGGTGGGAACTAAGTGAAATATGTTTATTTCACATTTCTTTTAACATTATTTGCTCAGACTGGAAGGAGAAGGGGAGACTGGATAGTTCACCATCATTCTCCCATATGTTGTGAGCTCTGCAAGGCCAAGGACTTTGTTATGGTTAGATTTATATCCCTAGCAAATAGGAGGACAGTACCTAGGCATTTCCTAGTTAATACATTTTTGATGGATGATTTAAATGGACAAAAGGAATAAAGTTTTTTAATGGTTCTTATTAGGTAGAGCCAAACAGTTTCTAATCTAATTAAAGAGTGACTGGATTCCAGAGACCTGTAATTAGCTAGACGCACTAGAGCCACAAGAAGGGTGGGTGATCAAGAACTTACTTGCTGAGCTGGTAGTCAGTGCCTTTGATGAACCTGAGCTTTTCCAAGGGCACACCAATGCTCTCCAGCATTGCCTTGATTACATTCTCATAGTAGCTGGTTCGGAGTTCTAGAAGCTCCCATGGGGCTTTCATGTTATCTAGGTACGCATGAAGGTCCGCAAACAGAATCGTTACCTGGAAAGGGACCAGCAAAATGTGATTTTGTCCAAGTACTCCTCCACCCCCTGCCTTTCTTAAACTTTTCTTTCGGCCATTCCCCAAGGGAATTAGCCTTAGTTCTTACCTCACAACCTGCCTTCAGGAAGTCTGCAATCTTAGACATTGGCACGAAATAAGCCACATGTGGCTTGCCAGTGGTTGCTGTTCCCCAGTAAACCTTAAGTTCCCGCTCCTTCAGGATCTCCTTCAGCTTTTCCTCCCCTAAAACCTCCTGTTGTGGAAGCAGAAGAGCTGGTTTAATGCTGGTGCCCCACCTTGCTCAGTGCTGGTGATAAGTCCAGCATCCTTACCCTGTGACAAGGAAAACAAAAGCATGTGTCACTAGGGGTCCAGGCTCAGAACCAGCAAGGAAGTCTAGCCATGCTCTCAGTGCTGGGTGAGAGCCAACCTAAGTTGGTGCTGCTGTTAGTACCACACCTGTGAAATGACACTGATGCTGGGGAGGGGAGTACGTGGTCCCTAAAGGCATCTTCCCCTCCAAGTACCACTCACTTACTCTCCTTCCTTTTGTAGATAAACATCTTGAAATACCACAGGCTGCAGTCTTTCACCTTCATCAGTAAATGCTTCAAGTCCTCTTCACTTTCAGCAAAATTGTGTCATCTGCATATCACAGGTTGTTAATGAGTCTTCCTCCAATCCTGATGCCATGTTCTTCACATAATCCAGCTTCTTGGATTATTTGCTCAGCATACAGATTGAGTAACTATGGTGACAGGATACAATCCTGACACATGCACATACCTTTTCTGACTTTAAACCATAAAGTAATCCCTTGTTCTGTTTGAAACATCCTACTTGGCCTATGTACAAGTTTCTCATGAGCACAATTAAGTGTTCTGGAATTCTCATTCTTTGCAATCCTAACCATAATTTGTTATGATTCACACAGTTAAGCGCCTTTGCATAGTCAATAAAACACAGGTTACATCTTTTTGGTTGTTGTTGCTGTTGCTAGGTGCCGTCAAGTTGTCTCTGACTCATACTGAACCTACGCACAGAATGAAACACTGCCTGGTTCCATGCCAGCTCTGCAATCCCTGCTATACTTGAGCTCATCACCGCAGACACTGTGTCAATCCATCTCGTTGAGGGCCCTCCCCGCCTTCGTCGATCCTCCACCTTACCAAGCATGATATCCTTTTCCAGGTAATGGTCCCTTCTGACAACATGACCAAAGTAGGTAAGACAAAGTCTGGCCATTCCTGCTTCCAAGAAGCATGCAGGCTGTACTTCCTCTAGGATAGATTTGTTGGTTCTTTTAGCAGTCCATGGTACTCTCAGCATTCTTTGCCAGCACCACATCTCAAAAGCATCAATTCTTCTTCAGTCTTCTTTATTCATGGTCCAGCTATCACATGCATATGAGGTGATTGAAAATAACATGGCTTGTGTCAGGCGCACCTTAGTCCTCAAGGAGACAGCTTTGCTTTTCAGCACTTGAAAGAGGTCCCTTGCAGCTGACTTGCCCAGTTCTGTACACCACCTGATGTCCTGACTGCTGCTTCCATTGGCGTTGATTGTAGAACCAAGCAATGTGAAGTCTTTGACAACTTCAATCTTCTCTCCATTTATCATGATGCTGCTTATAGGTCCAGTTGTGAGAATTTTTGTTTTCTTTACATTGAGATGTAATTCATACTGCAGACTACAGTCTTCAGTCTTCATCAGTAAGTGCTTCGAGTCATCCTCACTTTCAGCAAGCAAAACTGTGTTGTCAACGTATCGCAGGTCATTAATGATCCTTCCTCCAATCCTGATGCCACATTCTTCTTCATATAGTCCAGCTTCTCAGATTACTTACTCAGCATATAGATTGGATAAGTATGGTGAAGGGATACAACCATGATGCACTCCCTTCTTGATTTTAAACCATGCAGTGTCCCCTTGTTCTGTTCAAACGACAGCCTCCTGGTCTATGTACAGGTTCTTTCTGGTATTCCCTGTTTTTAGCCAAGGTCCAAAATGACATCAGCAGTGATACCCCTTGTTCCATATCCTCTTCTAAATCTGGCTTGAATTTCTGGCAGTTTCCTGCCTATGTACTGCTGCAATCGTTTTTTAATTATCTTCAGCAAAATTATATTACTTGCATGTAATACTAATGACACTGATCAATAATTTATGTGTTCTGTTGGATCTTCTTTCTTTGGAATAGGCACAAATATGGATCTCTTCTACTTGGTTGGCCAGGTAGCTGTCTTCCAAATTTATTGGCATAGACAAGTGGTTCCAGCATTGTATCCATTTTCTAAACATCTCAGTTGGTATTCTGTTCATTCCTGGAGCCTTGTTTTTCACCAATGCCTTCAGTGCAGCTTGGACTTCAATACCATCAGTTCTTGATTATATGCTACCTCCTGAAATGGTTGAAAGTCAACTGATTCTTTTTGCTATAATGACTCTGTTTATTCTTTTCATATCCTTTTCACGCTACCTGTGACACTGAATGTTTTGCCCATGTTGTTGTTGTTGTTATGTGCCACCAAGTCGGACCCGACTCATAGCGACCCCTCTTTGGGTTTCCGAGGCAGTATCACTATGGAAGTGGATTGCCCAACCTTCCTTCCGAGGAGTGGCTGGTGGGTTTGAACTGCCAGCCTTCCAGTTAGCAGTCAAGTGCCTTAGGCACTACACTACCAATATTGTAACTCAAGTCTTGAATTTTTTCTTCAGTTCTCTCAGCTTGAGAAATGCTGAGGGTGTTCTTCACTTTTGGTTTTCTAACTCCAGGTCTTTGTATATCTCATTATAATTCTTTGCTTCTGGAGTTGCCCTTTCAAAGCTTCCCTTCAGCTTTTTTACTTCCATCATTTCTTCCACTTGCTTTAGCTACTCTATATTCAAGAGCAAGTTTCAGAGTCTTTGTTTCTTGTCTTCTTAATGACTTTTTGTTTTCTTCATGTACGATGTACCTGATGTCATCCAACAACTCATTTGGTCTTTAGCCAAATGTGCAATATGTCAGATTTATTCTTGAGATAGTCTCTAAATTATGTGGGATATACTCAAGTCATATTTTGGCTTTGTGGATTTGTTTTAATTTTCTTCAGCTATCAACTTGAACTTGCCTAATAGCAATTGATGACCTGGTTCCACAGTCAGTCCTTAGCCTTGATCTGACCAATGATGCCTAAGCCATTTGACTGCTGACTAGAAGGCTGGTGGTTCAAACCCACCAGCCACTCCTCGGAAGGAAGGTTGGGCAATCTACTTTTGTAGTGATACTGCCTCAGAAGCTCAAGGAGGGGTTGCTATGAGTTGGACCTTACTTGACAGCAGTGCGTTTTTTTTTCCCCCCCAAAAAAATGGCCAATACCAGTCTATTTCACTAAGCACTAACCTTTAAGTGTTCCATTTCATTTTTTACAACTTCCAACTTTCCTAGATTCATACCTTGTACACTACACGTTTAATTATTAATGGATGTTTGCAGCTGTTTCTTCTTATTTTGAGTCATACCATACCATCAAATGAAGGTCTCAAAAGCTTTACTCCATCCATGTCACTAAGGTCAACTCTACTTTGAGGAGGCAGCTCTTCCCCAATTGTATTTTGAGTACCTTCCAACTTGAGGGACTAATTTTCTAGCACTGTATCAGACAGTGTTCCACTGCTATTCATAAGGTTTCAATGGTTATATTTTTTCCCCCAGAAGTAGCATGCCACATCCCTCTTACTATTCTGTCCTAGTCTGAAAGCTCCACTGAAACCTGTCAACCATGGGTGACCTTCATGGTATTTGAAACACCATTGGCATAGCTTCAGCATCACAGCAACATGCAAGCTACCACAGAACAAACAGATGATTGGTGGCCACTTCCACCTAACGAATAGTAGATAATCATAATGCTGTACAGTTAATAAAATTTTTTGCTGTGTATGTGAAGGAGCTCTGGTGGTGCTGTGGTTAAGGCACTGGGCTATTAACTAAAAAGTCAGTGTTTGAACCCATCAGCCACTCCAAGGAAAAAAGATGAGACAGTGTGCTTCTGTAAAGATTTATAGCCTAGGAAACCCTACAGGGGTCACTATGAGTCATAATCAACTCGATGGCAGTAGTTTTGGGGTTGGATATGTACATGAGTATCTTCATGTGAAAATGTACTAACTGTACAACAAAAACTGTGTTAATCAGCTGTTTATGTTATCAGTAAGTCTTCCGATAAACAGTAGGCTATTAACAGTTAAGTTTTTGGGGAGTCAAAAGTTATATGTGGATTTTTGACTATGCAGGGGATGGTGCCCCAACCCAGCATTTTTCAAGGGGTCAACTGTAGCTGTCTCCTCTTCTGGTCTCCATTTCCTTATTGCCCATTCCAATCTGAATTCTACGTCACCAAAAATACTCTTGCTAAGAACACAGATGACTTCCACATTGCAAAATTCAGTGAATATTCTTTAGTCCTCACTTCTTCCCTGAAACACTCTCTTCTTTCAGTCTTTTTTAGTTTAGTCTCTTGGTTTTCCTTCTACTTCTCTGGCTGTTGGGCCTCAGACTTCTTTTTAGCTACTTCTCTTCTTCCTAATCATTAAATATTAGCAATCCTTGGGGGTGCTAGTCTCCTCTCTTCTTACTCTGCATTCTCCCTAAGTAATCTCCTTCACTTGCTTCGATTTCTACTTACAAACTAGTAACTCCCAAATCTTCTACCCACACCCCTATATAGAACTTGTACTTGTTAACATTCCACTTAATTCAAACTCAACATGGTCAAAATTAAACACATGCTCTTGACTCCCTATCTAACTCTTCAACCATATTTTCTCACTTACGATTTCACTCCTAGTTCATTAAATCATTCATTATTTATCAGTAAACTAGAATCTCATTCAACAACTTGCTTAAGCCCCTCTAAAACAGCTCTTAAATCCACCTACTTCTCTCTGCCTCTACACCACTGTGCTGTAATCCAGTCACCACTGGAGCACAACCAGGCCTAATGTAATAGCTTCCTAACAGGTCTCCCTATTTACTCTTGCTCCCTCCAGTTCATGTACCAAAAGGTAGTGGGTCTATTAAAACCCAAAATTTGATTAACTCACTCCCATTTTTAAAACCTTTAATGATTTCCTTTCACTTTAAAACATTATTAGAAAAATCTTAGCAGGCTGGTATGCCCCTGATAAAAAGTTCTTAGTGTTTTCAGTTGATGGTTTTGGAAAGTTTTAGAAGTCATAATAGGCGAAAAATTGTTTGCTGGGTTGAACTGTTATTAGCAGGACTCATTAGAAACTTCTGCTCCAAATCTGCTGAAGGGCTTTTTTTTTTTTACTTTTATTGTGGTGAAAACATATACAACAATACATTCCCCAACATTAACAAACATCTACATTTACAACTCAGGGACACTGATGACATTTCTCACGTTGTACCACCATTATTGCTATCCTTCTCCAAAATATTCCACCACCATTAGGATAAACTCAATGCCCCACAAACAAAAGCTTCTCCTTTCCCCCCTCCCTCCTACCCCTGGTAAAATTATGTACTTACCAGGGGTAGGAGGGAGGGGGGAAAGGGGAAGCTTTTGTTTGATGGGCACTGAGTTTATGCTAATGGTGGTGGAATATATATGGGAGCTCTGGTGGCATAGTGCCTAAGGCATCTGACTGCTAACCAGAAGGCTGGCGGTTCAAACGCACCAGCCACTCCTCAGCAGGACGATTGGGCAATCTACTTCAGTAGCGATACTGCCTCAACAGCAGTGAGTTTGTTTTTTGGTTCTGGTGGCATAGTGGAAAGGTACTTGACTGCTAATCGGAAGGTCAGTGGGTCAAACCCACCAGCTGCTCCATGGAAAGAAGACAGGTAGATTTCCGTAAAGATTTACAGCCTCAGAAACCCAATGGGGGTTGCTATGAGTAGGAAATGACTTGATGGCAGTGAGTTTGAGTCATATATATATTTCTCCACCAAAAAACCATTCCTGGTAACCAATAAAGAAAATTCCCTGAAGGCTAATCTTGTATCCTTCAGAGCCCCTGACTATTTAGCCCCTCCCCAGGGGGCTCTCACCACCCAAGAAAAGGTCAAAACACTAATCGTTTAAAACCTGAATAAGTAAAGTCCACTAGCTTTGTGCATGCTTCATCCCAACCAGCACTGTTTTACGAAGAAAGATGAGGTGACAAAGGATCTGGTGGCTAAGGAGAAGCATATAAAATCTCTTGTCAAGATCAAGGTGTGAGTAGAAATAATCCAAACGTCCATCAATAATGAATGAACAAAAGTACTACATTCATAAAATAGAATATTCTATCATAAAAAGGAATGAAGTTCTGATACATGCTACAACATAGATGAACCTTGTAAACATTACGCAAAGTGAAAGGAGCCAGACAGCAAAGGTCACATATTGTATGATTCCATTTATATGAAATGTTCAGAATAAGCAAATCCATAGAGACAGACAGTAGACTAGTGATCCCATAGTGCTGGGGACAGGGAAATGGGGAGTGATGGATAATGCCATTTTTTTTTTTTTAGGTGATGAGAATGTTCTGCAGTTAGATAGTGGTGATGGTTGCACAACCTTGCGAATATAATAAAACCCACTAAACTGTACACTTTAAAACAGTGAATTGTATGTAAATTGTAAATTGTATTTCAATAAAACAACAACAACAACAACAAAAACTGTGGCCCAAGCAACTTATCGCTGGTCTTCAGAATAAAGCACAATTTTAAACATTGCCTAAAAGACTTGGTCATGTTGTAAGACGGGACCATTCCCTGGAGAAGGATGTCATGCTTGGTAGGGTGGAGGGTCAACGAAAGAGGGGGAGGTCTTCAACGAGATGGACTGACACGGTGGCTGCGATGATGGACTCAAGTATAGCAGGGATTGTGGAGCTGGCGTGGGATCGGGCAGTGTTTCGTTCTGCTGTGCATGGGGTCGCTATGAGTTGGAAACGACTTGACAGCACTTAACAACAACAACAAAAGACTTAGTCCCAGTCTCCTCATCCTAAACAAACAAGTAAAACCTATAGTATGTCAGCTGGAATAAATGTTACTGGGGGGTGGGCAGAGCAGGGGGTGAGACAGTTCTGGTGGCAGGGAGTTTGCTATTTAAATAAAGTCATCAGAAAGGTGTCCCTACCTAATAAGGTGGCAACAGAGGCCAGAAAGAGGTGAGAGGTGGAAATAAAGAAATATTTATTAGGTGCTTGATCTGTGTTTCGCTCACTCTAATCCAGACAATTTATAGTTTCTTCTCTGACCCACAGTGTTCTTTCTCCTGTCTGGGCCCTGACACTACTGTTCCCTCTATCTGAAATGCTCTCTCCCCCATTCTTCTTTTAAAACAAACAAACAAAAAACCTCACTGCCATCAAGTTGATTCCTACTCACAGCAAGCCCCCTTTAGATTTCCTTTTGCCATATGGCTGTTGGGTTTTAACCACCAATCTTCTAGTTAGCAGCCAATGCCTTAGGCACTAAGCCACCAGAGCTCCTGGATAACTGCTATTCCAGCAGTTCTGGCCAACAGCTGGTACTCTGAAAAACACTGGATTAACAGGTTGATGTACAGGGTGCAGTTCGGAGGTCAAGCTTTCCCTGCCTCGCCTCCATCTTCTCTTCTTATTTGCTATCAAAGCCCTACGAATAATTCCTTCCAGTACTTGTCTTCACTGTGAATTATGAATCATTTTAAATGTCTGATCTTCTCCAGGCAATCTCTGGGAAGGCAAGGCCCTGACGTATCCCTGGGGTCTAGCACTGCGCCTGGCACATAATGTGGTGGGTGGGTGGAATGCGGCACTGAAGTCAAAGCCTAGCTCCAACATAACGTAATCTGCCCATAGAAGATGAACCTACTGTGATTTCTGTGGCACCCAGGATTTCTGTGGCTGATTTACTGACTGACCGACCGGCAGCCTCTTTCAGAGCTGCCTCGCTGCGGAGTCCCCGGCCCTACACACTTAGGACTCCGTAGTGGGTCTCTGGATCACTGGACCTAGGGTCCCCAGCCCCCAACGGCGCAGTTCTAACCCCGAGGCCCGACCTGCAGGTTCCGGGTGATAAGATGCAGCTTTTCTTCAGGGCTCGGAGCGTCCCCCATGGTTCCGCCGCCCCTACCTCGCGCGTTCAGCCCAGAGCCGGAACCCCTTCCTCAGTCGCCGCTGCCTCCTAGTGCCAGGAACTGTCACGCGGGTCCAGGCAAGTTGCATCAGATGAGATGGCTGCTCCGCTTGCTTGGTCTGGGCCTTTTTGCCCTCCCGCCAGCGGCTGGGAGTCAGGAGCAAACGAAAGTCGAGAGGGTCGATGAGACCGAATGGGTGGAGCCAGTTGGCAGGTTAGGTGGTGAGAAGGGCGGGGTTGCGGCGTCTGCGCCGGGCGCCGTGGGTGGGGCGGAACCCTTTTACAGCCGGGGCGGTTTCTTGCCAATCATTGCTTGTTTGCCCTCCCCCTGACGCTACCCTGGCGGCCACAGGGTGGGGGAGGTAGGGGAGGGGTCTGTAAAATGGCGCAGGGGGCGGAGTGAGGTAAAGTCGTTCTCCCAGGCTTCCGCCCGGCTTTTTGGAGGTGAAGATCGCGAGGAATAAGAGGGTTGGCGTTGCTGGGCTGGGAGGGGGTCGGCGGGCGCCTGTTGCTTCTCTGGGGGCGTACGCACGCCGTTCGCCCAAAGGGTTGGGGGCCCTTGCCCTGCTAGGAGAAGGGTTCGTTCTGGTTCCTGAGATTATGTATGGCAGGGAGAACTCCTCCTGCCCCTCGCCTCCACGTCGGCGGGTAATAGATGCCCCTCATCTTGCTGAGGAAAAATGAGGCTGTCTGGCCACCTGAGAGGCAGGGAGTGATGTCTGTCCTCCCAGCCCAGTGGGGTGGGGGAAATGGTTGTGTAGGTGGGTGGGTGGGTGGGTGATGCCTCTGCCCCCAGCCCCCTGCACCACTTGCAGGTAAGGGTGGTGTTAGAAGATCTCAGTCTTTCCGCCGCGCCTTGCTTGTGGGAGAGGGAGAGCATGACTACTAGTCTCCCCATCCCCCACCTACATGGGAGAGGAGGGGGTCTTGCGGCGTTTGGTGTGGGCGTGGGCGTGGGCAGCGGCCTTCGAGGGGAGAAGGGTGCTTCTTTCCAGTTTTGCCCCTGCTGGGGGAGGGGCAGGGAGAAAAGCCGCGCTTCTCCGGTCTTCAGCGGGAGGCAGGATTTTTGGTATCTGAGAGGGAAGTGCGAGTTTTGAGGGAGAGCACATTTTGGCCGCACAGCCTTCGGAGGTTGGACTTGAGCCACACCTCTTCGTGGTCTTCAAGGACTGGAGGCCTCACCCTCACCATTTCCTTCAGGGGCAGGAAGGAAGGCAGGGCCAAGAAGTGGTTGAATTGTCCTCGCCCCCGGATACCATAACTCGATATCCAGTTTCTTACGGATTTGTTAAGAGGATCCAAGCTGTAGCAGACCTGTCTTAATAATTTTTAAAAAACACTTATGAAGAAGCCTCTTGCCTACGTGAGAGAGTCCTGGCACCCTGATCTAGTGAAATGTTACCAAAAGCAGAGATTTCCAGCTCTGGGTGGTTTTTCCACGCGCCAGTGTTTCCAGTTACCTCAAAGGGAGTCGCAGAATTCTTACAGATAATTTCCATTCACTTTGGTCTTTTAAAAATGTTTTGCCCGTTTTGTGGAGTGATTATAAAATGTATTGAGTGCCATTTGTGCTATGCCAAAAAGTGCTATGTACTTCACATGTATCGCGTGTGGAAAAGGTTGGGAATCAAAGGCCAATGGAGAAGCCTTGTCCATTGGAAATAATCCATGCTCTTGGCCATAGCTGTCAGGGAGGCCCAGTTTGGTGAGGGTCTTGGTTTTAGAGCCTTGAAATAGGAATATGGAGTTGTGTTTGGTGTTAACAGTTTTAGTGACCTGAAGAAAATAAGACTTTGTGCTTTAAGGCAATAGGTTTTCTGAGGTAAGATAAAAATAGAAAGGGAACTAGTTTCTGAGGTTGCAACCAGGTTAGAGAACAGAGCAAGGGGGTGGTAAGCTGATGTGTGAAGAAGGGGGTGGACAGGTGAGGGAGATGTGGAAGGACAGAATAGGGTCACAGAAGGGATGGGGTGCAGAGGAATTGGGAGATGGGAAAATACTCTTCCCTGAAAAATAGAGGGGTGAACAAAAAATTTTTTTATTAAAAAAATAAAATTGAAAGAGTGCCTCTAAAAGTGGAAGCTACAAAGCAAGCTTCAAGGAAGGCAGATGATGATGGAATGGTCGACAGAAGTATTGAAGTTGTCTCGTGGAAGTTCACTTTAGAACTTCAGTATTGCTTTCTTTCCCCTCTTTGCAAATTCGTACTATATCAACTCTTATTAATGTAAGGCTTTTAGGTTTAGAGTGTTCATAAACATCCTGGCATTAATCTCTGTGATAATTTGTTAGAAGTTAACAGTTTTTATCCCCCCTTTCTCAAGTGAGTGTTCAGAGATTTCAAGGGATTGCTGAGGTCTCTGAATTTTAGTCAAGTGCCTCTGTACAGTGACCATAAATTTGCAAAATTTGCCTGGTATTTCAGATGTTCACCCAGCCTGGTCTGGTCTTTAACTTACTGACAATGTGATCGAACACAGGATTAAACTTGAAGAGAATAGATCATACTGGATACTTTCTAAGGTGCTCTGGTGGCACAGCGGACCTAAGGCATTTGTCTGCTAACCAAAAGTTAGCAATTCAAAGCAGTTCAAACCTACCAGCCACTCCTTGGAAGAAAGACAGGGCAATTTACTTCCCTAAAGATTTACTGCCTTGGAAACCCAATGGGGGACACTATGAGTTGGAATCAACTTGATGGCAGTGGATTTGGATCCTTTCTTAACAGGTGCTGGGAGAAGGTCCCTATCAGTTTAGCATTCTTTTTTCTTCTATTCCTAGTGTTCTCTTAAGACTGTTCTAGAGTTGGGAGGGGAACTCTGGTAGCATAGTGCCTAAGGGACTTGACTGCTAACCAGAAGGCTGGCAGTTCAAACCCATCAGCCACTCCTCAGAAGGAAGGTTGGGCAATCTAGTTCCGTAGTGATACTGCCTTGGAAACCTAAGGAGGGGTCACTATGAATCGGATCTGATTCAATGGCGGTGCGTTTTTTTTTTTTTTTTTTTTTAAATAAACGTGTGTATCAAGACTTCACCAAAAGAGTAAAAAGAGAACCTACAGACAGGAAAACTTTTTGGCAACAACATACTGGACAAGGGACTAATCTCTAAAATTTGTGGAAAACTTCAACAGCTCAACAACAAAAAGACAATCCAGTTGAAAAATGGGCGGAAGACATTCAGGTGGCTAACAAAGAAATGAAGAAATGCTTGTGGTCATTAGCCATTAGAGAGATGCAAATCAAAGTAACAGTGAGATATCATCTCACCCCAGCATTAGTAGTGAAGGTCAGAAAACAACAAAGCTGATGAGGGTGTGGAGAAACTGGAACCGTCATCCACTGCTGATGGGACTGTAAAATGATACAACCACTGTGGAAAATGGTATGGCACTTCCTAGTCTCACTACTAGGTATATATCCTAGAGAGGTAAGAGCTATGACATGAACAGATACATGTACACCCATGTTCATCACAGCATTATTCACAGTAACAAAAAGATGGAAACAACCTAAGTTCCCATCAGTGGATGAATGGATAAACAAACTGCAGTACATATACACAGTGGAATACTGTGTAGTGTTAATAATGATGAATCTGTGAAACACCTTATGAGTGAACCTAGAGACCATTATGCTCAGTGAAATTGTTGTTACGTGCCGTTGAGTCGGACCTGACTCACAGCGATCCCTCCTTGGGTTTCTGAAGCAGTATCACTACAGAAGTAGATTGCCCATTCTTCCTTCTGAGGAGTGGCTGGTGGGTTTGAACCACCTGCCTTCTGGTTAGCAGTCAAGTGCCTTAGGCACTATGCTACCAGAGCTCCCCAGTGAAATTAGTCAATCACAAAAGGACAAATACTGTATGAGAACACTATTGTAAAAAGTCCAGTCAAGGTTTATATGCAGAAAAAATCATTCTTTGAAGGTTATCAGGGGTGGGAAGGGGAGGGAGGGTAAATCACTGAGTAGAGGGTAGGTAGGCATATATTAAGTGAAAGGAAAGGGAATATACATGCATAGTAATGTAGCTTCAAAATTTCTTTGCCAAGGGACCAAAAGCCCTGTTTGAAGTCTACATCTTTCATAGATGTAGACTGGATTTAGAAGCTTTAGTTTGTGTTCTAGCTCTGCCATTTGTGGATTGACCCTGGGAAAGTCTGTCACCAGTAGTAGAAAAAAACATTGCTTGTTGAATTAGACGGGGTTTAGATCCTTGTTCTAAGCTTGTTAGCTATGTGTACTTGGTTTAAGTTACTTAACACCTCTGGACTTTATTTTCCCAAGAGGGAAAATCTACCGAATTCACCATTTGGTCTTGAACTAGACTTTCTGGAATGTTGATAGGGTGATGGTGTCCCAAAAAGGGCTTCAAAGAAATGTAGCTGCTAATCTCAGTGCCTGTAATATCTGCCTGACAATCACAAACTTTCTTAAAAGAAAAAAATTTCCAGAAGAGACTTTTTCTTACTGCTGCCTGAAGAAGTAACTTCGCTCTATAAAATAACTCTCACTGGGCAAAGAAATTACTTTTCTCTTCAGAAAGGCACTTGTTTCTGTGCATTGTTCTCACAACAATTGCTGAAATATTAGTAAAATAAAGTAGTTTTCGCAGTTCTAAGTTTAAATACAACAGAAAGCTTAGTTTCATTGATAAGGCAAATTTTGCAGAGTTGTTTAGAATGGTTAAATTGGAGTTGTAAAATGTGTCTCAAAGTTTGTAATAGATACTTAATAAGTATTTCTTCCCTTTCTGCCCCATCTCATTTCTAAAATGAGTAAGTTTAAAGGTTCTTTTTAATGCTGAAATTTTGTAATCCCTCCCCTTGCCTTCTCTTTCCATAGTCCTTTATTGTCCATACTATTTTATATTCTCATGTTGGTGCTTTTAATGTCTCCCTAGCAAGATTGTGGGAACCATATTATTTCTTGGACATCACAGAGAGATATATTACTAGCTCAGTACTATGAGATGAAGAATGCTCAGAAGAATGCATGGACTAAAGCTAAAATTCAAGATGAAGTATGGAAAGAAAGTAGAGTAGGGGAAAATTTACAGTTAAAAGGCTACAAAGAATTTTACAAATTGTTAAGAAATTCAGTGTTTAAGCATTTCTTGTATCTTTTCACATTCAAGTTGAAAAGCAAAATGATACTGATTAAAGTTTCTTCTTGACCTCTTCTCTCCGCTTGCAAATGATAACAATCATCAATTTTGTATTTCTCTGCATTTATATATGTATTGAAAGTGATGATTTTTATGTGTGTATGTGTATGTTCATGATTAATTTTTAGATCTTGGTGGAATATTAGACATTACCTAGTTTACCATACCCACCCCTTCGCCATCTTATAAATGAAGATACTGAGGTCCAAATAGTTAAGTGGCTTATTCAACTTACTAGAGTTGGTTAGTAGCACAATAGGACTATAACCCAAGTATTTGGACTCCCAAGCTAGTATTCGTCCAATTAAAGTAAATAATGTTAAGAAAGTACATACCGTTAAGAGGAACAAAACTAAGTCCTTAGTTGCATAATTTTTTCTCTAAAGGTTTTTCTTTGGTATTCTTGACTCAAAATGTAACTTTCTGGTATTTAAAAAAATCAAGATCAAAATTAATAGATGAAGCACCTGAAAGCACAATACAGTTGACTTTGTAATGAACAGAGTTGAAAGTGATGAGAAGATCCTCTAATTTTCTTTGTGCTTGCAGGAAGGTGGGAGTCAATCATTTTGACAAGTCTCCTGAAAGGAATAGCTAGCAGGAGCTGAAACCTTTTTCCATTTGGTCTCGTGGTAAAGGCAGAGATTGCTCCAGCAGATCCACACAGTATGGAAGACAATTCTTTATTTTCTTGTATTCCTAATTTTTTTTTTTCAATTTCAAAAATAATAACATTTAATTTTTTTCAAAGTACAAACTGAAAATCTAAGCATTTTACATAATATATATTTGTTTTACTTTTATGCCATAGGTATTATTCCATAATAATGTATACAGATCTACTTCATCATGTTTTTGAACAGTTATAAAGTATATATTATGACTTTACTGAACAGTTTTCTTGGTGGTGGACATTTAGGCTGCCTCTAGTATTGGGCTGTTTTGAATAATCCTGTTTTGAAGATCCTTGTATCTGTGTCCATTTGTGCATGAACTCTTGTAGGATAAATTCCAGAAGTGAAATTGCTGGGCCAAATAGTCCTACAAAATTACTTTCCACAAAATATTGTGCTGACTTACACTCTCACTGGTAGTGTGGGAGTGTTTGTTTTCCACATTCTCACCACCCAGATTATTATCAGTTATCTTTGTTTTTATAAGATGTTTTGATAGGAAAAAATATATATCATTGTTATAACATGTATTTCCATGATCATGGTGAGGTTAGATCTCTTAAAATTACTTCTCATGCTACAAGTTACAGTGCAAAGGATTTGAAATACCACCCTGTATAGAATGGATTGGAGTTAGTATAAAGGTATTTCCTGTTCCTCACTGACACTGCCTCTTGTTTCTTCAGATATGATGTGCTCATTAGTGCCCTGTGAACAGTCTTCTGGTACCTCTCTCTTTCCTAAAGACAGTGCCCCATTTTCTGGGAGTTCCTTGGATGAGGATGGATTGGATGACTCCTTGCTGGAGCTGTCTGATGGAGAAGAAGATGATGGCCATTTCAGTTATACAGAGGAAGAGATTCAAGAGTTCTTAAAGGATGATGATCTATCAAGTGAAAACTATTCTGTGGGAGGAGAGTTGCTTAAAGATGCCAGTGGAGATGTTGAGAAGGGAGAGAGAGAGAGTCAAATTCTACTTGATGCTCCCCAAGAGAAAAATTCATTGGACAGCTTGGGACCAGTAGCTGAGACCCCTGGCCTCTTCAAACTACCTCAACTAAGTACATCTATTAGTCATGGACCAACTTCTACTAAACCGTTAAACAGACACTTTGCACTAGAAAAGAATGTCATAAAAATAACTGTTGCACCATTTGATCCAACAGTTTATGATGCTGTGCTTGATAAGGATAAGACTGATTCCCTCACAGATATCAAAAAACCCTCTTCCCTTGAGGAAGAATTGAGAGAAGATGGTCTTAGCCCAAATGAAAGCAAACTTTGCACTGAATCTGAAAGGATCAGCCCCACTAACTCTGCCTGGGATAGGCCCACATTTCCTTCTTCAGACAATAACTTTCAAGAAGGTATCGCTGGTAGAAATATGCCTGACAGTAAGAAGCCTTCACCTGGATTCCCTCAGGTCTTGGAACATTCAGAGAGTTCTAATACAGGGTCATCCTGGAGAAATGGTGGATCACATAAATCAAGTTGTGAGGTGAGATTTCTAGTAAAGTTCATTTTTTCAAGGTGAAGAGAAAAGTTATTTTCATTCAGATATGGTATACCAGACAAATTGGGATCTGAATTCTAACTAGCAGTATGACCCTGGAAAAATTATTTAGCCTTTCTGTCCCCTACTTTTCTTACTATAAAAATTGAAGTAAATAATACTTCACAGTATAGTGAGGATTAAATGAAATAATGTATGCAATACCTCAGTGCCATCAAGTCAGATCTGACTCATAGCAACCCCTCCTTGGGTTTTCAAGGTGATATCACTACGGAAGTAGATTGCCCAACCTTCCTTCCAAGCAATACTGGGTACATAATATTAAGTTACTATTTAGTGAATAATTACTAAGGTGGTTTTATTACTGTTTCTTTGGGTTTCAGCTTCATTCTGAATTTTTGGTTGCTATGCTCTGGTAGCATAGTGCCTAAGGCACTTGACTGCTAACCAGAAGCCTGGCGGTTCAAACCCACCAGCCACTCCTCGGAAGGAAGATGGGGCAATCTACTTCCATAGTGATAACCACCTCGGAAACCCAAGGAGGGGTCTCTATGAGTCGGGTTTGACTCGATACCATAGTGATAACCACCTCGGAAACCCAAGGAGGGGTCTCTATGCGTCAGGTTTGACTCGACGGCACTTAACAACAACAACAACATGCTGTATTAGATACAGTAGCAGCTCTGAGTTAGCCACTAAAGAGCTGAAGAATCTTAGCAATTTACCAACCTCTTTGAGCTTGATTCCCTGTCAAATGGGTATAATAATCCCTGGGCATAAAGGTGTTTTGTTTTTAAGATTACAGTCACTATCTTATTTGAAGCACTGACCATCATGTATGGTACACAGTAATGTTCAAGGATATGTGCCTATAGCCTTTAGTTCAAGAATATTTCCATTAATAGTGTTGCTGTCAGTTGTTTTCTTATACTAAGGAACTCTTTCCTTCTGCATTGCTTCTGCTGTGGGGAAAAAAAAAAAAAAAACAGGCTGTTCTTGACAAGGATTCTGGGAAGATGAAAGTCCATGAGAAAAGACTAGGAAAAGTCATTCCCGTCCTGCAAACCAGAACAAGGTAAAATAACAGTATAATTACATCTTCTGATTTCTGTTGGTTCTCTTCAATTTTTTTTCTTCCTGTCCCCAGTTTTCCTTTAAACCAAAAAGAACCCAAACTCACTGCCATTAAGTCAATTCCAACTTATAGAGACCCCTTTGGGTTTCCGAGGCGGTAACTCTTTACTGAAGTAGATTGCCCAGTCTTTCCGCGGAGTGGCTGGTGGGTTTGAACCATCAGCCTTCTGGTTAGCAGTCAAATGCCTTAGGTACTACACCACCAGAGCTCCTTTAGTGTGGGGAAAAACCCTGCCGCAAGAGTAGGAAAAGTCAAAGTCCTGGAATTCTGAATAAATAGCTGTGTGACCTTGGGCATACCCGATAATCTAACTTTGGTTTCTTCATTGACAAAATGAGGCTGATGATACCCACTCTGCTACCTCACAGGGTTATTTTGAAGAGTAAAAAATACATGTTAGTCAAAGCACTGTATAAATGTGAGATTGTTTTTCTTGTGCATGGAGAAACCTGGTCATGCATGTAATAGAAGGTTAGAATAATTTTAGCAAACAATGTTATGATACAGCTATATAAAAAAATCATTTAGTCATTTCTCATGACTTGCATACAGCTGTCCTTGGGGACTGGAGATTTTGGGTCCCTTTTTTGATTTTTTCTCTTGTTGCCAGGAGATGGCAGTGGACCTTTTTAGTTGAAGTTATTAGGTTGGTTTTTAGATTGTGTTAGATTGCTTCCTTAAAGTTTTTATTTTTAAATTTTGATTATACATTTGCTATATTTATCCTGCTTTAAAAAGCTTAAAGTAGTACAGATAAGGCCAAAGTGCCATGTGACTACCACCCTCAATCTTGGTTTTGTTATTTTTACATAACTGAGGAAAACTTTGAAGTACTTACCATGGAAATTTTACCAAAGGAAAACAAGGCAAGCTACTTGGAAAAACATTAAATTTACTATTTCAGTATTCTCACTTACAGTGAAATCAGTATGGGCAAAGGCCAGAAATTGCTTTTGCCAATGTTACCATTGCCCTGCTTGCCAGATACAGCTAATCTTTTTCAGTCTTTAGCTCTTTTCACTTGTCTGTGGTTCTATAAAGGTAGCTATTTCCTGATGAATTTTGAATGACTGAGCAAATACTTCTTTGTTTAGGGAGTAGGTAATCTTTACTTTTTTATGCCTTATTCATAGATTATATCTATTTTTCTCTCAACTCTTTGATTTTAGCTTCATGCTACCTGTCATTGGGTTTTAAAGCAAATTTTGCCTTTGATAGTTGTTCTAACCATCAGTAGTGTTTGACTTCTCTTTGTGAAGCTCTATATTCATGATTCTAATGGACTAATTTTTCTTCCTTCTGGTTTGCTTTGTTCAAGGGCTAATATTCCGACGTTTTCACAATCAGATCTAGAACAGCAGAAGCAAATGTATCTGAGGAATGTCCTTGCTCATATAGAAGACCCTGGGGCCTCTAACCAAGGTAACATGGTAACCAAAGTATGGCATATGAAAGATAATGATGAGACTTTTTCTTTCCAGTGTAATATAGCTTAAATTTGAAGATTAATTCTTTTGAAATGTGTTTAAATTGGTAGGAAAGATAACTTCCTTACCCCAAGATGATCATTTTAAGGGATTGCCTAACCAGATAACCCATAATGTAGTTTGGCTAACCAGTATTAGAGAGGGGTCCAAGAAGATTCATACTAGTATGTGAAGAATGCCTCCCCTATGGTTGAAGGGTATAAACCACACCTGTACTTTGGTGAAGGATTTTTTTTCTCAGAAAACTAGAAGTGAATGACTAGATACTGCTTCATAATCATTGGTTTTATATTTGAAGTTATTTGTTACCTATTGTTATTTGTTGTCTGTTGCATTCAGCATTTAAATGTAAAAGTAGGCATTTCAAACACCATCCTCCCTCTGCTGTTGTTAGGTACCATTGAATTGGTTCTGACTCATAGTGACCCTTTGTACAACAGAATGAAACGCTGCCTGGTTCTGCACCATCCTCACATTCCTTGCTGTGCTTGAGCCCATTGTTGCAGCCAATCCATTTTGTTGAGGGTCTTTCACTGACCATGTACTTTGTTGTTGTTGTTGTTAATGTGCCATCAAGTCAGACCTGACTCATAGCGACCCTTCCTTGGGTTTCTGAGGCAGTATCACTATGGAAGTAGATTGCCCAACCTTCCTTCCAAGGAGTGGCTAGTGGGTTTGAACCTCTAGCCTTCTGGTTAGCAGTCAAGTGCCTTAGGCACTACGCTACCAGAGCTCCCATTCTTCTGGTAGTCCATAGTATTCAGTATTCTTCAGTATATTCGGTATTCTTCACCAACACCAAAGCCATCAATTCTTCACTCCTCCTTATTTGAGTCCCATTTTCTCATGCATATGAGGGTATTTAAAATACCATGGTTTGAGTTACGTGCACCTTAGTCCTCAAGGTGACATCTTTACTTTCAACACTTTGAAGTCTTTTGCAATGATTTTTTCTGCCTCTTAGCATCTGAATGAGAGCTCTTGAAAGGCTTTGACTACCTTCCAGCTGCTTCAAGCTAAGTTGGTTTTTTTTTTATGTTTATTGTGATTTGCGTGAAAGTTTACCAGGAGGCTCTATCACACCAGCAGACCTGGTCCTTTTTTTTTTTTAATGATTTTGAGTTTTGTTCCACATTGTTCTCCCACTCTATCCAGGATCTCCTACACAGATCCCCCACTGAGTAGTTGACAGTGGTAGCTGTATACCATCTAGTTCTTCTGGTCTCATAGTCATATAGGCTGAGGATCACATGGTGTACCAGTCCCCTAGACTAATTGTTTCCATATGTCTTTGGTTTTCTTCATTTTCCTTTGCTCTGGACAAAGAGAGACCAATCGTTGCATCTGGCTGCTTGCAAGCTTTTAAGATCCCAGTCACTACATGCAAAAGTAGGATGTGGAGCAGTGTTTTTGTGTAGTATGTTATGCCAGTTGAGCTTGATGGCCCCTGTGACCATGGTCCTGCACCTACAGGTCCAACTACTTCCTCCCTCCTGGTAGCTGGCTGTGGCCAAGAGGTAACTCCAACCTTATCCCTTGTCGGCTCTACTATATACGTGGGAATTCTTACAGAACGTACAAATACACTTGTAGAAACATTGTCTGCCAACCTTGTACATGGTCATGGACACACTCTGCCCTGCATAGACATACCTAATAGTTAAGCCTGTCCACCCATCTATCCATCAATGTTTGCCATCACTGACAACGCAGTCAAGCTGAGGTTTTTCTCTTAATTCTTCAGACGCCATTGCAAGCCAAAGTGGTTAGATTCATTTTCTAGTCCTCAAGGAACAATAGTCTATTTACAGTTTATCTGAACTATTTATAGGCTGATGGGAAAAATCCTTAAAGGAAACTTGTGGCCAGAACTGAAGGTGCAGAGGTTAAGGAGATACAGATAAAGTAATTCCTTCTAATAAAGATCACTACTTAAGCTGTCATCTTTAGTTTCTCTTCCTACTTATTCAGCAAACCTTCTCAAATACCATCAGTAGTGCTAGATTTGAACATTAGGAATCAGAAATGTAACAAGGAGTAAGATAGGGTCTCAGACGTCTGGAAATTCATAGTCCAGAAGAGGAAAAGATAATTACACTACAGTATTGATTGACACTCTAATAGAATTATGTATAAAGTACATTAGGAGCAGGGAAGGAGCCTTTTTGTTTATGTTTGGGAAGAGTGGAAGATGGAGAAAGGAAGATGTTCTAGGTAGGCTCCACAGAGAAGATAATTAATTCAGTTACTTTAAGAGATATTGTTAATCACTAGGGAGAGTTTTATAAGAATTTTTTGCCAAAGATCAGAGGAGAGTCTTCTTCCTTTGAAAAGTCCTAAATTATTTAGTAGTTTTTTTCTTGTTTAATTTAAAAGGCAGTGAGTGGAAAGTTTAGAACTCTGAGATATCAGTCAAAAGAATCTTTTATCCTAGGTCTTTTTCTTTTTTATTCAGGATTTCATTAAGCAGTCAAATATTACTTGTTTTGATTTCTCAGCCGTCTTATTGTGAGATTCCTTTGATTGAACTATTTGAAAGGTCTAGTACAACTAGTGACACTCACTTCGCCACCTTCCACAGTCTTTGGAAGGACAGATAAAAAGTTTGTCTGTGTTCAAGCTCTGTGAAGAGATCCCATCATTGCTTTTCCCTCCATGAGGTGACCTAGCTTTTTTATTTTTATGTTTTTTCAGTTGACACTGATGATACCCATTTACATTTTCCTTTCCCGATTGGGGCATTTAGAAAAGAAAACTTTTGACACAGAGAAAAGGTAACCACGAGGAGGAAGTGGGAAGAGAGCTGTTGCATTGGAAGGATTGCAATCAGTCAGGAAACAAAATGTGTATGAACTGTTGAATGGAAAATGAACGTGCTTTGCAAACTTTTGCCCAAATCACAGTAAAAATTTAAAAAAGAAAAGAAACTCACAATTCTGTAGATCACCTTTTGCTCATATTATATCATCTTAAAGGCATGTAGAAAGACAGCACTAAAGGTTAGGAGAGTAAAGTCTCGAGTTAACCTTTAGATTCATATTCTGGCATACCTGTTTACTGACAGTGTGACCTCGAGCCAGTGAAAACTGCCCCTCAGTTTTCTCACTTGTGAAATGGGAATAATAGTGAGGCCTAGTTTATGTGAAAATTATATATTTACATACAAGTACAATGCTAGAACAGTACCTGGCCATGTTGTTGGTGGTGTTATGTGCTGTTGAGTTGTCTCTGACTCATAGCAACCTTAGGTACAACTGAACACACACCGCCCAGTTCTGTGCCAGCCTCATGATCTCTACTATACCTGAGCCCATCGCTTCAACCACTGTGTCAATCCATCTTGTTGAGGGCCTTCCCCTTTTTCATTGACCCTCCACTTTACCAACGTGACATCCTTCTCTAGAGAATGATCCCTTCTGACAACATGACCAATGTAGAGGAGAGGAAGTCTGGCCATTCTCATTTCCAAGGAGCATTCTGGCTGCCGTGGTAACTAACATTTATTGAATCCTTACAATTAGCCAGAAAGTATCTTTCATACTGAAGTTTTTATTGGTTAAAATAGTTTGCTGTCAGGTGTGTTTTTAAATCTCAGGAATGCGGGTAACAGGCTGGAGAATTAGATGAAACAGTGTTGACAAAGTGTTGATGAATGAAGCTGAGTTATTGTTATGTTGGGTGTCCTGGGGGAAATTACCACAAAGTTATAGTAGTGAGGAAAAGAGATTTTATTTGGCATATGCAACAAAGAGAATTCAAGGGGGTGCATGTCATCAGAATAGTGTCTGCCTGCGGAATCTGGGACACCAGATTCAAGATGCACTGTTGCATGTTGTTGTTGTTATGTGCCATCAAGTCTGACCCAACTCATAGCGACCCCTCCTTGGGTGTCGGAGGCAATATTGTTAGAGATATGCCACGCCATCTTGCTTGGCTCTTCCGGGTTCTTCTTCATTCCCTGCTGCCCCACCCAAGGTCATAAGTCAGTTAAAGGAAGTCGAAACTGAGCTTCCGGCAAGGTGCAAATTTTAAAAGGCAACATAGCTTCTGATAGGTTAAGACCCCTTCCCCCAGCTCTGACATACAACCTCCTAAACCCAAGTCTATATAAGACCGCTCTCTCCTCTGCTCGCTCTCTTTCTTTTCCGTCCTTCCTTGGCGCAGGTGCCCTTTGGCCTCTTCAAATAAAATCTCCTGTCGGGTAGCCTGGTATATGGCGTGGTTGTTGAGTGCCCATGGAGCTCTAACAGATAACACTACAGAAATAGATTGCCCCATCTTCCTTCCGAGGAGTGGCTGGTGGATATGAACTGCCAGCCTTCTGGTTAGCAGTCAAGTGCCTTAGGCACTATGCTACCAGAGCTCTCTAAACTGTATGCACTGTTTGCATACAGTGTTCTATATATGACTACCTCAGTACTCAGATGGAATCTTTGCCTTTTATTTGTTTATTTATTTTAGTTTTTATGTTTTTACTTTTTTTTTTTTTCCCTTACCCAGTGTGGTAGTTATGTTTGTGTGTCAACTTGGCTGGGCCTGGTTGAGTGGCTGGGCAGCTGGTGGTAGTTATTCCCTATGATGAGACTGGCAGTCAGCTCCATGGTGGGATCTACCACAAGCAGCTGAGTAGCTGCCTTTGGGAATGTGGTCTGCTTCCTGTATTTAAGGAGAAGCCTTGGGAATGGTCTCTAGCCTGTGGCACGCTTGGACCCTGCATGTAGACATGTCGTTGCTCATCAGCCTGCTATGCTCTGCCGACCTTGGGACTTACAATGGACTTAAGTTAATGGCGTGCGGTATGGTTTGGTAACATCGGGACTGTGCCTTTTTACTTGTCAACCTTGAGGCTTCTCAGCCTCAGCAGCCAGCAGCTATCGGAGTGAAGAAATGCCTCTAGCTCCAGTGGGCTGGGAGCAGAAGGCAGAGCTGGACGCC